CTAAAGCACGGAATTGAAACATGCCTCCAAGTGAAAGTTGTGCAATAGTGCAACAGCAGAGAAAGAGAGAGAGAAAGTTGGCACGACTAAAATGTCGGTTGGTCGACTAGTACTCGTACTTACGTAAAGTTGGTAATGAATCCTTTCCCATCTTGAAGAGGAGGAAATGGTAGTTGGAAGGGTGCTAATGGATTCTAAAGATGACATTAAGATACGGACAACGATTCATAATATTCAGCAAAGTTCTGACTTTCTCGGCTTAGAGAGTTGTCATCTTTTTCGGGGAGGATACATATATGCGGCAAAACATAGGAGTCAGCTAGGAGTTGACGGAATTTCTCGCTCTGCGTATCCATCTCTGGCTGTTTTTCCCATGCAAGTGACGATGCAAGTAATAAAAAGTAATAAAACGGGAAAAACTTTGCTCCGTTTTATACCATAGTTTATTTGCAGAAACAAAAAATAATTAAGTTTCGTAACTCTTTTTTATGATATTTGAAAATTAAAGACTGCAAAATTTTGAAAATTTTTCCCAGCCTCACTCATTTTGAGTTGGTTGGTTTGCAGTGCTCGTTTACTGCTTTTGAGCTTGTTCTCCGATAATACGTAATGGCGAAAGAAGAAGAAAAATGTATTTTCTGCATGGACGAGTAGCAAAAGTAAAGATATTTTCTGGTTTCTCTGTGGAAAAAAAACTTTTTCTCACAGATGAATGGTTGGATGTCCGTCTTATCTGGGAATAAACTCTGGTAAACGATGCAACAAAGTAGCGGTAGCGGTACCCAATGAAAATTCGAGTATAATTCCTAAATTTGAAAATTTTTGACACTTTAGAGTGATGATAGATCAATGTGCTATTTGCGATTTTGCTGCCCTTCAAATTCTCCATAAAATGATACCCCACATGATTCGATTTGCAATTCAAAATTTCCTGACCTGAATAGCATGGGTCAATTACTGAGCCTGTTCTCAATAACACAAACACAACTGAAAATTCTTACGTTTCTTCCAAAAATTTTCGTATAACCAGACAGACAGACAGACGGGCAGAACCTCGCTTAAAGTAGCTACTTAATAAATTCCCACACAGACACACACATTGCATCACGTTATGTTACGAAAAGTAAGTAAGTAATGGGTAGAAGCATCCTCCTCATACAATCTACTCACTCACTCACTCACTCACTCTTTCACTCACTAAATTTCCCCACAGAAAGGAGAAAGCTTCTGGTTGGGACTTGACGTGAGTTGCTGTCTTTATGCCGAAACATAATTAAGGTTCAGGTGCTTGCAGGCCAGGAGGGAGTCGAGAATTGTGAATTATAATGCGGTTCCACGAAAACGTGGTGTAATGAATTACCCCAGGAAGTTGGCCTAGCAGAATGGTCCATCCGTTTTGCAAATTTGACCACAAATGCGTCTCAACAACACGTGGGAACGATTAGCAGTGCGTCCCGTTTCCATTTCACCTTTTTCGTGGTGCAAAAAGGTGTACGAAGGAACAAACAAGTAATGAAAACGAGGGAGCCGGAGAGAGGAAGTCGCCTCTCCAGAGAATGATTGAAAGGTGAGAGATGCGAGTCTAGACCACAACCGTTTTTGCGATGGGAATGGAAAAGTCTTGTAAAATAGGGCGGTGCGGGAAAAGATAAAAAATAAACGCGGAAATTCGAGGTGTCTTTGATAAACAGAATACAATACGTGTCTCAAGTTCTCTTTTTGTGGTGATGCTCGTTTCCACACGATCTGCAGAGGAGTCGCAACTGTCCCAGATCCTTGACAATCGGCATGGATGGAAGGATGTGTTGGAAGTCGTGGCATATAAAAAATTCGGAACAAATTAGTTCCAAGACGGAAAGTGAAACTGGATAGCAGCCGACCAACCAACCAAACTGCACACACATTCGTATCGAATGACTCGTGACGGTGACGATGAACGACTTGGTGAAATGGTAATGGTTTCACGGAATAATGACGTGGTGATGACTGCCTGGCTTGGCTGGTTGGTTGGCCGTCTTCTCGTTTTAGTGGGATAAGGAGGAGAATAAGATGGCGAAATAATGGCGACTATATCGGATGGATTCAGTGAAGGAAAGGTGAAAGTAGTAGAGAAAACTAACCGTATAATAATAAATGGCCTGATCGAGGTTGTGAACGTGGGAGATGAGCCGTGAAATGGATTTACTTTACTTTCCTCAAAACATGATCCAACCACAATTGAAGGAAAAGTCATGAAATCACATCTCTGTTTTTCCCCATTTTGGTTTCACAGTTCAATTCCATGCCAAAAGTTGGAGCAAAAATAAAAAATTGGTGTAAAGCTGAAATTTTGAAAGTGATCACCTATTCTGCAGGCAGATTATGTACATAGATGGATATGTAGGAAGGTCTAATTGTATTTGAGTAGTAAGTACGCCTCGTATCTCTTTTTTGGTTTGGGAAAACCTTAAATCTTTCAAAAAAAGTCGATAGGTTCGAGGAATGCCCGAAATCGTTTTCCTTGTCCAGGTTCTCCTCGTTTTTCACCGAAAATGAATTAATCGTAAGGCACAATGGCGATGGAAGCGATGATGTTCCCCGCTCCCAGCAGTAAGGCCTCCCTCGGGATGCTCAAGGCCTTGGACAGTGGTGGTTAGAAAGTCGGGTGCATGCATGGGATGAACCCGTTGAGCAAGGCAGACCACGCGACTTTGCTGGCAGATGGATTTTGTAAGGGGCAATTGTGCAACTCATCTGCAATGACCTGAACAATTTCCTTTTACCCTCATAAATCCCACCAGGCAGTTTTCTCTCTCCGGAGTGTGACCCCTTGGGAGAAAGTAGGCAGCTGTCTCTCTCTCTCCACCCAAACCGACGAAGGAAACCACTATCACAATAATAAATGAGTATACGAGTAGTTTGGCCTTTTCTTCTTCTTCTTTCTCGGACAAAGGTGAACTTCTCGGTGAGCAAATACACGTTTGCAGTGGTGGTGGTGGTGCAGCTCGAGAGTAGCATTTATGTACGTACAACAGTGGTGGAAATTTCTGTCAGTGAAAGAAACCAATTTCTGTCGTCCTTTGTCCCACGACCAATTTGTCCTCGAGGGTTGATAAAAGAAGGCAAAGCAATAAAACAAAGCTGCCATTAATCCGGCAGAATGACGACCACTCTTCATTGCTCTACGCAGTCCATAAACAATGCTATTATTCCTCCAATTTGATGAGACGACCAGCTTGGCAGTTATGATGGGCCGTTCTTTTTTGCCGAATATTTATTGAACAACCAGCAGATTTGGGAGGAGGCGACTGCATCCATGTTCAACCAATCTATACTTGGTTGAAAGTCGATCAATCAAGCAGAGATCTCTAAGCTGACGGACTCTCAACAACGAGGCCGGCATGACATTCACTTACTCATATCTGGTGGGATGAGACGAAAACACAGAAGAACTCAAGGAAGGAAAAGTAATTGTCCCAAAGTGGATTTTATTGCAAACTCTGGAAATAAGTGGAGTGAGTAACCAACCGGACAAAGTGACCAGCCAGACGAACCAACTTTGGGGAGTAAGTACTCCCTGAATGTTCAGCTAAATGGTTCCATTTTCTAGATAGGAGAAGATATGATGGATACGAGAGCTTACGGCTTATCATCCTATCTTATCATCATCCAGGAACAATGCCGCCCCAATTAAGTGGAATGGTGAAACAATGCTCTCCAGAGTCATGTCGTCTTTAAAGGAGGACATAACTTGATTATTTTGACTGCAGGATACTTTCACACTTGACAGCCGGTCTTACTATTTGGACTAATTGTGCCCCGAAATCCGTAATCTGTAATAGCAAAACTCTCTCTCCGAGTTGTTGATGTCATGACTGGATAAATATTGTTTTCCTGAAATAAATCCGTGTCCATCGTCTCTTGTGCTGATAGGTGACTTGTCTAGACTGACCTCAATCTGTTCCCACTCCTCCACAACAGCCTGGCTTATGGGTGAATAAAGTAAGCAAGCATAAGGAATTATTGATTGGCATGATGCAGCTAGTCGAGGAGAAATAAAATATTGACTCGTTTCTCACATCGTCTTTCCACCACATTTACGATACGACGAAACGACGAGCAAAATGCGAGAAGATAAGGTTTTACGTTTTGTGTGAGTTTCACTCCAAATATTTGGATTTACCTTTCCTGCGGAAGGAAGGAAGCCACCGCCGCCGCCGGTCCACTACATACAACAAGTCGTACAAACAACACACACCCATTCTGTTTACCAGCACACACCCCTCCTCCCACATCGCAAAGTACGACCACCATTCCAACCATATTCTGATTATCGACTCGATACAAGAAGAAGAAAGAAAGTGGAGAGCACAACCACCACTTGGCTGCTGGGGAGAAAGTGAGCGTGTCCCTACTTCTGAACGAGTCCCTCACAAAACAATGCACACACACTTCATTACCAGTATTGACACACTGTCCTCTTTGTTGTTGTGCGAGGAGGAGGAAACAAAGGGGAACTTTATCGTCGCAATTAATCTTTACAATTAACTATGTGACGTGCATTAAAAGCTGGGTTAATTAGATGGGAATTCCGCATTCGGGTTGTTGTTGCGTTATAATGGGGAAAGAAAAATAGGAGTCATTTCAAACCTCTGGTTTTCTATGTGTACGTCTACTCAGCGATCATCTAAATTACATTTGCATTACGGAAGGCAACAAAGAATCGAGCTGTTTTTTTTCTCATCACACACAACAGAGGAAGAATAGATTGGAGGTGGGAGAGTCGTGGGTGAATGCGAATGATGCAGTAATGATCCCGAGGGAAATTATATTTTACAATTCTTTTACAAGCAATCTGTTCTTGAATCTTTGAGGTGGGGGAGAAGATGAGATTTACCTTTTTTCTTATCGAGATTGAATTACAGACAGACATACAATTCGTGTCGTAAAGTTGTTATAATTTCTCGCTTCTCTTCCCCGTAAACAGCACAATTTGTGAGACATGATGAAATGACACTCACCTTTATTTTACTTCTGGCGGAAATTGGGCAATAAAGTTGGCAAAATTTGCCTAATCCACCACCACGAGTTGTGTCTTCTTCTTGGAGACACACACACTTAAAACTATTGATATTACTTATTCATGGAATGAGAAAGAGACGACGACGAAGAAGAAGAAGCACAATAATAATTTAAACGTCCCGTGAGACCGGTCCCAGTTTTTACGACAACATGAAGAGCAGAGGACGATGACATGGAATTGAATTGACGTCATTCATATGATACCTTCGCCACTAATAGCGTAATATGTATGTAAGACTGTTTCGAGACAAGTCATCCATGTACGTGTGCCGATTAATTCGAGATGATGGATATTGTCCGGTTGCCTGGTTTTCGGGGGAGGGCGGCGGAAATGGTGACGACTTTTGTTGTTGGTGAGACGTAATTTAGATAACTGCAGCTTATCGTCTCCTTACGTCTGGGTGATTCCTGTGAAGGGTTGAATATTCTGACTCTGCAGAAGTAGCACCAGTTGGTCAAACTTGTTTGCGTGGAATAAATATTCATTCATTCATTTCTGCGGAGAAAGTGACAAATGAACGACTCTCGAGTTTATACAGTTTGTGTGCGATACTCCAGCTCCGCTTGACTAGACTTGAAGAAGAGTTTACTCAAGAAGACTGAATTCATTTGCATGGAATTATCATCAGACGGACGGGATTCGGTTCAGTGTCGATCCTTATTTTGTCCTGTCCCATTTGTGGTCTGAGAGGAGACTGAGATGGGTGGAAGGAAGGAAGTAAGGTGGAAAGAAATCCGTGCAGAAATGGGCCGGATTATGATTTTGTGTGTTTAGCTGATCCGAATTTAATGGGCTTTCCTCCCTTCTTCTCGGGTGGTGGTGGGTGGACGCACGGAATAATATTTTCAAAATTAAATGTCAATAACTCTCCGATTTTTTTAGCGTTTAGGAGGCAAACTTGGGTTTTTAGTGGTTTTGTGGTAGAAGGAAACAGTGGAAAACCTGCTTTTGTCCTCCACTCCTGCACTCCACCACGTTTTCGGGGAGGAAGAGACGACCGACGCTACAGAGAGAAAAGGAATGTTGTTTATCAATTCGGAGATGATGGATTCGGATTCGTATATTATGCAGGAATTTGTTTATTTGTGTAAATTTACTGAATGTACACGTAAGCGAGGGTATAATGCTGGGAGGTGATTTTGTCCAATTTCCTGCTTTCACTTGGGGCGAGATCTTACAGCTTAGATTGGAACGATTAGCTTATGAAAATTCGGTTTACAACAAACAAGAGAATTTTCTCTAAACCTGGAACACCGAGTGGAAAAAAGTGATAAATCTCTGTCCCCCTTTTAGCCAGCCGTAGGAGGAGGAGATCAAGCAGTGGCGAGGCTTCTGGTAAAATATGTATGGAGACCGAATGCAAATAATGGATGCAGTAGTAGCTTTCCATACCCCAGCTAAAACTCGACTGGGTTGATTTCTTTAGCAGAGTTGAATTTTGGACTGGTTTTGAAACTTGTCTCGGGGTTTTGTTTGTCTTTCTCTCTCTCTCCAAGTTGAGCATGTCTGGTCTGCCCTGTTTTCTCGCCGTCTTCTCGTTCTGGTTTTTGGTGGTAGAATTCCTACCCAACCAACCTGTACGACGTCCAGGGTGAACAAGTCACTCGGTTAAATTCTCTCGGCCAGGTTCAACCTGTGCATGCCTTCCATGGAATTCTAATCTAAGGACGTTCGTATCAAGCTTAATGGGACTATCTGTAAATTAATGGAGGAGACGACTTTCACCCATTTTTAGAGAGAGCTTTTCCACCTACCCGAGACAGTTCCGTTCAATTGAGATAAACGGGCCGGATGAGGTTGATGGGACCTAAGTGCACTAACTAGCTGCGTACGGTCACTGATTCCCGTGTAAACTCGTATAGAAGAGAGAGAGACGGAAATTTATCAAGAGTGCAAATTAGGCTTAATCCAGTTTGCTGACTAGTAAGTGAGGATGACGTTTAAATTTATGAGTCGTAAATTTAAAGTAAAAGTTTTTGTCAAAAAATCTAATCGTACTTGAACAGGATGTAGTTTTTTTATTCAATTTTGTTCATTACTAGTTCATCACGAGTTCTTATCTAGTCTTCAGAAGCCGTAATGTAGATAATGGTGGATCCTGGTTTCAATGTCTTGACTTTGACCCCTTGTGCGTCCTCGGGTGGTGTGCCATTCACCCGGATAGAAATCGTACTTCCGGTAGACTCGGGTGATGCGATGGGCACCTTGTCACCACCACCAGGTAAACTGCTGAGGAAGGAAATGTCCCCATCAGAATCGTCAGCAGCGGATTGTTTCCTTGTCGAGATTACGAAGTGATTGTTGGGCAGAGTCACAGGATCCAAAATGAGTTCTTCCATCCGCGTTGCTAGTGCGACTGTTTCCTGTTCCGAGGAGGGTGTGGTTTTCGTGGTTTTCGTAGTGTTACTGCTACTTCCTGGCGTGACACTGCTTCCCATCATCGTGAGGGGAGGCGGAGGAGAGAGATTGTAAGCACCAGAGCGTTGTCCCATGGCTGGAATAAAATTCGGGGTTAAAATATAAAATTGAGGAAAATGAAACTATTTATAGACTTTCGTGAATAGAATTTCGAGTACGAATCGTTAAAAACATTTCCAAAAAACGAAGTTTGCAAGTTTCGCATAGAAATTTGGTTTGAAAATTCATTTACAAACTTGCGCATCTCGAAGGCTAGTGTTTAGTTTGCCAATTTTTTTTCAAAACTATGCAACGAACTACGAATGAACATGCTAACTCGTAATGAATACCCCCATATTAAATTGGTCTCTCCATCCTACCCCAATGAGTGCTTCATCTTCTTCTGTGACCCCATACATGCACTTATCCTAGTAAAGTATGTAGGTGGTCCTCAAAGCATCTGGCATTGGTTTTCAGATTTGCGGTATAGTATTCAAATTATTTGAAATAGTTTTCCTCTAATTCCAAACGCTTATCCATTTCTCGTTGGCTAGAGGGCTTTTTATGAGAGGTAATTCAAGCCATATCTCACAACTTTGCCATTTCCCCTAAAAAATTGTAAAATAAAATTGGCACTAACAAGGTACGAAGTGATGGGAGACATTAGTATTAGCTTATTGGCTAGCATTATCACTATATCAAAATTTCTATTCATGTAAAATCAATATGAACAGAGATTCTTCTTTGAATTTAAATCTAATTTCGTCATTAATTTGAGCTGTCCAAAAAACACCCTATTCAGCACTAAAGTGATCCCGAAAAGAATAAACAGACCAATTCAAAACTTTGTACCCTCCTTAAATGAACTTTATCTATAGAACAAAACAAAAAAACATACTTCTTCCCGACGTCGATCCTTGATGTCGAAAAGCATAAACGAGACAAGTGACTACGAGGGTGCCACAAACAAGTCCGGCTGCTACCGCACCGCGAATCAGATTTGTCTAGCAATTTAACGACGACAAAAACAATCGTTTATAATTATCCAGCCAACAAAAACTTCTTATTTGTAAAAAAAAAACCTAGCCCAACCTGCAGCTCTCGTTCTAAAAAGTTTGCGTACGTTCTCTTGACCCAAACTTGTACTGAAGCGGATCCCACGTATGATCCAGATCGTAACACGCAGCGATATACTCCTTCATCTTGAGGCGTAATTTCCTCCTGTAAATAAAAAATTCTTAAGAAAGCAAAACACAATTTAAACCAAAAATATTTTTGCACCACCTTAAAAAGCAGTTGACCAGTGGAAGCCAAATAGCGATACTTGTTGTGATCATACTCTGCGCCGGCCCCAATCACATTTTCGTTATCATCATCCGGCAGCCAGAGGACGGAAGTGAAAGACTTATCTGGCTCTGGTTGAGTGACAGGGCAGGACAGCTTCACGGCCGTCTGACCACTCGTTACATGCACAATTGTGATTTCAGCAAAAACTTGTACACCTACACGAATGATGAGAATGATGATGGGAAACAGGAACAGTTTCCCCATTTTGTGCAAAGAAACGTCCTAATTGCGAAGAATTTTGGATTCAAGAAATATTGGCAATTAATTTTAGCACGATAACGATAACGATAACTGGAGAACAGGAACGACGAATGTTGTTTGACCCAAGTTGCTTTCATTTTGCCAGGGGTGAGAGAAAAATTAGTGGACTTTGTGAATTTGAATACAATCAGAAATGATGAATCGATTTTTGATGGATGGATGGATCCTCATTTATTCGGAGAGCGTTTTCCCTAATACTTGTCCTCATTTGAGGATTTTTTTCTACTCTCCGTGTAATAAAAGCAGTGTATGTATACATTCATATCGATAACTTCTGCAAATAAAAAGCATGTGCACTAACAAGTTAACGATGTTAACTTTGCTCTTGAATCTTGGCGAGTAACGCATCATCTATTTTCGTACGACTAATTATAATCAACTTAATAATAACAAACCTTGATTTTGACGAAAATAATAAATTTTTCCATTCAAATAAATATGCTAATTTAAATGGGCTTTTTCCTTTGTTTTTGCAGGGAATGGAACGTCTGAAAGCGTTAATAAAACGGGAAGAAGGCTTGCAGCGAAGAAAACAGTAGATCAGTTATCTTGAGTTGATTTCCTACTGAATTAAACATGCATGCACTGGTTTGTTTGTGTGTAATGCGGAGCAATAAAATTTGATATATGCGTAAATAATGACGGAAAAGTAATAAATCATGGCGAGCATATGGTCATAAAGGTGGGTGACTAATTATTACGTTTGATATCTTAATAATTATTATTACTGGGCTATGACTTATTCCAGCAATAAACGCGAATTTCTCTGGTATGACGTTGGAAATCATGCATGCAAAACCATTACAGTCGCCTAGTTATGGTCATTATTACTGTGAGTCACTTTTCTATTCGGTCAGCAAAGAATTTATAAGTCGAAACGACGTAATTGTTTGCAGAATTGAAGTTGTCGTCATGTTAGTCTCGTCACACCGACTCTTTGCTTATTTGTAGCTACTAGGAACGCCTCCGTCTGTTTGTGACTATGCAAATTCAACATTTTTTTAAATCCGCAGATATCAGTTCTTATTATTGTAAGATCATTCATCTTCAGCTGAAAAGAAGCGACTGACGATTATGCCATCCAGCAATATTTATTAACAAGCTTTTGCTATTATCAGCCATCGAGCGGAAATTATGTGCAGAAGCTGTTAGTTAAGTTAGTTAGTATTGCTTGGAAAAACGTTGTTATATGCGAAGCTAACTTGACATTGGTTTATTTTATGTAAACAGTTTGCACAGAAATGTGAGCACAACCTGAGTCGTTGTTCTGACTGAGAGGAGTATGATTACCTTGCTAAAATTGAGAGTGAGTGATTAATACTCGAGCAAAAGGAGCCATGAGTCATTTTTTGCTCATTCGATAGTGGGCTATTCGCATAGGCTGCCAATACTTTGACTGCAGTAAATAATTCGACATAAAATTTGGTGAAGAAAAGGAAGGAAGGAGTGCAAACCCACCAACATCCTGTGTGTATGTAATATGTAATATGGATGTGGACGTTGTTTATGTTGTGAAGAGGACGAAGGCAACATTATGCATTTATTTGAGGTGGTAACCAACCCCAGCGTGCAAAATATTTAGCACAAGAACAGACAGAGGGTATATTTTACACTGTACATATTTTGGACTCTTTGGTCGGTCTTTTGCAGAGTGGAGAGGAGACGAAACTGACATTTTTGCAGACTTGGTTTAACACAAACAAGGGTTACATACAGTGGTTTGGGTTCTAGCGTCTCAGCCTCAGTCCATAAAACCTGGAGAATTGGCCGGTAGTGGTGGAATCGTCAGGTAGCACAATTTGCAGACAGTCAGAGTTTTGCAGCAGTGAGTCCAGCAGCAAATAGTTAATCATTCATACCATTCAGTGACCGAAAACATAAGCGTTATTGCCAAAGTTTTCAAGCGTTTTGGAAGAGAAGATCAGAATTATAAAAATGGAGAAATCATGGAAAATCTCAACCCAAAGTGTGGCACTTGGTGTGCTCATTTTGACAATTAGAGGTAAGACGAACGGATTATTCATTTACTTAATTGTACCTTTTGTAGACATGCGTTTGAGAATTTCAGCCAAAAATAGTTACATGAATATAAACATTGGTTAATGGTGTGAAGGACGGTTCCGATAACAAAGCTTTAAGCATTGCGATTGGCAACTTATTGCGGCTTAACGCCAAGTTAATTGTGGTTTTACATGTATTAATATTTCGAAGGCAACACATTCACAGCTAAATAAAATAAGTTTGTTCATATGAAATGATGACTCAATTTATACGATTTGCACTACAACTCACGCATACTTGCGAATTATGAATATGAGTCACACAGGGTTAGTCACACTTGATCAATTGTTGATTGATGTTTGCGTGTGTCACTTTCATTTTACTCTCATTCATTTAATCCAGTAGCATTTTTAGGAGAATTGTGCGAAATGAAGATGTGCAAATAAATGGCCTCATCTCATCACACTGCAAGAAAATGGAGTCTTGTCCAGTACAGATATTTTCAAGAACGGCCGTTAACAAGGTCGCTCATTGTAAGGTGTACTCGTTGAAGGCGAGTATGTAACAGGTGTGGGGAAGAAAATGCGAAAAGTGACTGCAAATTTATGGCATCGCAATCTTGTTACTCATCCACCAAACAAGAAACCCAATCTACAAATGGTTTTACTTGTGCTTAAATGACTTATTGTGAGGCATGATCTCACTTTGCTAATCCGAAGGTGAGATTCTCGTATTCCTGATTTTGTATGAAATTTTGCACATTTGAAGTCTGGTCCGATGACACTTACCGTGTCCATATCCGTACTTGAATAATATCCACTTGCAAATATATTCCTAAAAATGTGATCACTTAACATTGCAAATAATATTCGCATGGTTCAGAGTGAGAGATCGAGTGTGAAAGGAGAGATTGGCTGCGGTGTGCTCGTGTTGATGCTGCAGAGTTTATGCATTTGTGCGGTACCTTCTTCGTCTTCTTCAACGCCATTCACCACTTTTAGCACAAAAAATGTGTCACTTTTGAGGGTCTGTGCCTATTCGAAACTTTTGCAGCCATTGTTTCGCAACGAATGTGCAAAAATAAGTGAGGCGTCGTGGTTTGTGACTGTCAGAGTCGCATCAGTGGTTCAATGGTAGAATGGCCGCCTGCCACGCGGTCGATCCGGGTTCGATTCCCGGCTGATGCAGCAAAATTTTTGCAAATTTCTAAATTTGCAGTCTTTATTTTTTACACGATAATTTACGCTTCGCATCAGTTGAATATTCAAGTAGCGTTTCTTTTCACTCCTTCATTTAAAGCTAATATGCATCTTAATTTTTGCGGTGTGGTCATTCATATTTTTAATTGACTTGCTAAACTTGCTAAATGAACAATTGTGTTAGTAATGTATTCGCACTGTGCGATTACGTAATCACCGCATTCATACTACCGAAATTTTATGCATGGGAATTTCGCTGCTGCAGTAGTAGTTTTATTCAGAGGTTAGTTTAACTCCAGTTTTTGGGACAACTTAATTATTGGCTGTTAAAGTGGCAGATGACACTGGAACTGGTCTGGTCGTCTCCATTTTTTTAAAATGGCAATCAGGTCTAGATTTGAGAATAAAAATGCGAGCAAGGTCATCCACACATTAATCGTGTTCCGTCCTCTCATTGCGACTGAGGATGGGCGTAGCTCATGCATAACAGAACCCCTTCGGGCTTAACATAATTTGTACTTTGTCTACGTCAAAAATGATTAAATTATAATGACGAAAATATGCAATAAATTAATTGCATTCTTGTAAATGTGTAGCCTCGTTTGTCTCCTCCGGAGAAATCTCCACAAAAAGTCTGCGTGGAATATTTCAGGAAACGAATCTCGAAGTTTCCCGTGACCCCGCGACCTATGAAGGGCGTCAAGGAATCCAAAGTTTCTTGAGTTGGAGGTTGAGTTCCTTTGTCAGCACGGTCACGTCTTCAGGGAAAGCGGGTGGCGCTGAGCACAACCAGTTTTTGCAGCAAAACTTTGAAACCAAGGTGAGATCTTAAATAAGTTTATCTTAAGCAAGTACTTTAAGATAAGCAATGATAAGCATCGTCTGTGCTTTGCTCAAATCAATCACTCTGAAATAATAAATATGTTGTGGTTTTAGGTATTTCACACGCCAACGATGGAGCGGAATATAACCGGCACCAACTATTTGGTGGTGTTTCATGGGTCCAAAAATGCTTCAGAGGATGCACCTTTGGTAATTCTGGCCAACTACGACACGGATGAGTCGGAGGTGAACCCGGTGGACGACAATGGTTCGGGAATCGTGGCCCTGGTCGCATTGGCGGAACATGTTTCACATCAAATTGTAACGGGGAAGTTGGTTTTGGAGAGGACGCTCATTTTCGCAGCAACGGACATGGCTCTTGGTAAATATGTGAGTAAAATTCAGCAAAATTTAGTTTATGTTCTGGAAATATTGCTGTGTAGCCAATTGTCACCTAAAAATTACGAATGTACAGGAATACGGTCTTCCGGATGGTGCCAGAACGGGGGCGGAGGCGTTGGTCCAACTCTATTTGCCGCAAATGATGCAAGGTCGGTCTCGTTTTGGCGGTGCCATTGTTCTCGACTCCATCATGAACTATAACGACGAGGAGAGGTCGCAGTCTCAGTACGGCGGACTCTTCGACAAGGTTGTTAAATTAATGATAATCTTTAATAATATTTAATTCATTATTGTCCTCGCCAATTAATTTGGTTCGTCAAATTTGCTAATTATTTATCTGCCATCATATTTCACAGGCATTTCCACTCGCTTATCAAGAAATGTCCAAGCGTAACTTCAAGGGGGACTTTTTGGCCATGGTTTTCCGAGACGATGAGCTCGACACTCCTCTCGTCCAAGCGTTTGAACGTGGATGGAGGTCAACCTCAAAGTCCATGCGTTCCGAGGCCGAGGTTGACATCGATCCTGCTCTGGTTCGGTTTTCCTACACGCAGTCGACCTTCAACGCCCACGCCCCCTCCGCCATCCACTTCCTCCACTCGGAACAGGCCCCGTTCTGGAACCACTTTGTCCCAGAGATTCACAGAAAACTCCCCACGAAAGAGTTTCCAGCTCTCTTGCTCACCGACACAGGTGCAAAATCAATTAGTTAACACATTGGTGCTTGTTTTATTTTGCTCCGTAGATTCATAGTACAATTATGTATTTGATATTGCAGAGAAATACAGAAAGGCAGAATGTGCCAGCTCGGGATGCACAATCACGAAAATGGTAACCGACGCCCCAAAAAATGTCGAGTTTCTCAAAAGAACAGTCAATGCTTTGTACGCTACGATTATCGATCTCCAAGTCGGTAAGAGAGGAGTGATTTATTAATTTGAGCTTGTTCTCCATTCAAGTGCCCATTCGTTAAATAGAGAAATTGAAATATATCAAACTCTGAATTTCATTGTTAGATGGAAACAGAAACTCGGCCCCCACGACTGCTGGATACTCGTCCTTATTTTCCATCGTCACTGGAATTGTGATGCATCGAGTCTTATTCTTATAAGCGTCATTGGTCAGACGTTAAACCCAGTCTAAATCTAATACTGAAATACTTTGAATCTCTCTCTGCACAAAAATCAACTCTTATCAATTTATCACAAGGAATGCGCAACGTTATTAAAATTATTTATTATAACTGGAAGAAAGATCATGGAGCAACGAATGGAGAAATAGTTGACAATCTCATTCAGAGCCATATCTGGTAATAATATTGTTCACATGTAACAATTGTATTCAATTTGGCTGGCTTCATTTTGTGTTTACGGAGTCAGATAATCCGTGACATTCAAAAAACCACCCAAGTCTTAAATGTTAAGCAATACTGATTAGTTGTGGTTAGTACAACATGGTTATTTTAAGGTAAAATTCCAAGACGCTTATTCCTAACAGCAGTTCCGCATTAAATATTTAACAACGCTTCATTGTAGCAAGGTGATTAAACAAAAAAATAGCAATTAGTTATATCAGATGTGCCTCAAAATGCTATTCATAAATGAATAACACGTCTCATGTAAATCTTCGTCTATAGTTATTATAAAAATATGACATCATGCGTACTTAAAAATATATTTTTTATAATAATACTGAGTAATAAAAAATAACAAAAATTATCGCCCAACTTGTTCCCCTAATTCTTTGTAGAATCGCTTTTCTCCTCCGCAACAATGACTCCGCCAGGTTTGGAATTGTAAAATATTCCTTCTCGAGCATCCTTCCCTGACTGACTAACAGCAGGTCGTTGTTCAACCCCTCGTCGACCTCCTCCTAAAAAGTAGCATTTCAGTAATAGAAACACATCACGTGGATAATATGCAAATTTGCCAGCATTTCTCTCGCATACTTACCTTCAAACAAAATCTTTTCCAGTTGCATAAACGGCGTCTCTATTGTCAGCGTGAAGAAGAATCCCACCAAAAATGACATGACCATGTGCGCAAAGAAAAAGTTGAGCTGTACAAAAAGTAATTAATCTGTTAAGCAAATATGATTTGATATTAATTGAGGATTCAGTATCATCACTAACCATCGAGTATTCTGAATAGGCCATCGGTTGTTTGAACGACACGTGCAAAATCATTTGTAAATGCAGCGATATGAGATATGCACAATAGCAAAGTCTTCCCAGCGGCATGAAGACCTTCCACGATAAGAAATCGTTCACCAATCCGCCATAGCCTTTGACACAGGCGAAAATGATCCAGGCTACCGATATACCCCAAGCAAATCGACTGAATCCAGCGTACATGAGGCCTGGTGCCTTCGGAATTTCGGCCAAGGGGTCAAACCAGTCTTGAATTCCGTACAAAACAGCGAGTGCCGTCACCGTTGAGATTGCCCAGAATAAGGCAACAATTGGATATGGAAGCTTTACACGCTTCCCCTTCGTTTTAAAAAGGATGTAGCCCAACCACATGCCCACAAAATAGGTCTGAATTCTTGCATATGGTTTTATGTAGATGTCCTTGTACCAAATATCGACACTGAAATAAAAGCTTGTTAGAGAAACAGTGATGAGGCGAGTTGAGATTGAATTCCTAAAGTGCTTACGATTCTGTTCCAACTTTTGTACCGATTGTTGTTGGTGCGGTGTCGTAATAGTGAACAAGAAGAATTGGACTTATGGTTGAGAGAACGGTGAATATGGCAAGGATAATTACGCCAATCATCTCCCAGTGGTACAAAGGGAGGAGGAAAAGGGGAGAAATTATGTAGAATTGCATGTCGTCCGCCAAATACCATGCTTCACCTTGACACTAGTAACCAGATATTTAGAGCGTTAGTATATTTCTGTTAGGTTTAGTTAGTTGAAAATTGTTAAATTTACCAGCCAACTCGTGTTAACAAAATTGTTGACGTAGAGCATGTTTGTCCACCAATTATCTTCGCATATTTCACTCCATCGCTCCATAATGAACCAGTACGGACCTCGTCCAGCGTACGGTACGAGAGTTGCCATCACTCCGACGATTGCTGCGTAAACTGGTGTCAATCTGGTGGATGCCAAGAAAAGTTATGACAATTGCATGAGACCGCATTACATTGAATTTTGCACACCTGAGATATCTGTGAATGTAAAACATGGGAATGTTTAGCTTTCCTTTGGTCTTGGCCAACATTTTGAGAACATTGTAGGCGACGAGGAGACCACTCAGGACGAAGAAAGTGTCCACTGAAACCGTGCAGTTGAAAATTGTCATCATTGAGAGCTTTTCTTGAAGCTGAAAAAATAATCAAATATGATTTCTGGCTAACATGCCGTGGTCTCATCCTACTCACCATTTTGACGTCAACCAAATTCCAGTATGGAACATATACCACGACAAACCACGTGTGGCCTAGGATAACCCAAGCAGTACTGAGAAACCGAATTCCATGCAAACATCCCAAATCATCTGCCGTCGCCCGTGTGCTTAGCCATCTCGGAACGTTGGTGTACAACGAAAAGCTGTTGAGACATTGAAATGCGACTCCTAAAAAATTCCAATTATACAAAATTTTAATAGATATTTACTAAATTTCTGTAAAATAGTTTATGAAATTAATGACACTCGCCTCGTTTTGGCGGTTTTTCTACGCCTCGATTCAGCCAGATATCAACCACGCTGGATAAAACTACAAGACCCGTAATCGCTCCGAGCAAAGCAATTACAGAAATATCGCCCGCATCGAAATCTGGTCGCTTTCCGACATAGCAGAACTCCACGGCTGGCCAAATGGTCCCATTTCCGGTTGGAGGATAGTCATACAGGACCGAGTAGAAGATGTTCATCAGAATTTGTTCAATGTCGCCTTGGTCGCAAGAATTAGGAAAGCAAACTCCGACTGAAGGGAACAGTTTAATTCCATACGCCATGTTGATCAAGCTCTGTAATTTTACAAATGTTCATCCACCATTTAATACTTTTTGGAATTTTCTTCTTACCCAAAGCTTTTCTGGAGAAACTGCTTTTCTCCCTCCGATTGAAGTAGAAGAAGAAGTAGGACCAGGAGTTGGCTTTTGTGGGAACGTGTCCCAATATTTCGAAAATCTGGCGTCGGTGTATGGGGCAAGATACGTGTTGCAATATATGCCTGCAAAACTGGTTGGCGTTTGCGGGTCTGAGGCTTCATATTTCCCCACGTTGAGGTCGACACATTCATCAAAGTCTCCCATCGCATTCACGTGACCAGACAAAAATCCTTCCGGCCATTTTCCCCATGCGTCCATTACTATGAAAATATGTTTAAAAAAAGTCATAATTATCAGAGATTGATGTAATTGGGGTTTTCCAGTGAAGCATGAAAATTTAATTTAAATAATCGAGCTAATTATTATTCTACGACACTAATAACACAAATAATGAATGCATTATGTCATCTTCGCTGCTGTAAGAGCTGTTATCTATGTGGATATGCAGGTTGGACGTGGAAATCGTTTTAGGCCTACAAATTCTGCCCATTTGCCTTTTGCAATAAATCTGAATTGGGTTTAGAGGCAATTGGAAATAATTACAAAATTATGATGATCACATGAAGATGATGCACGTCATTTGTGTTATTACAACATTCGTGGTGACAACAAAGGAGAAAGAACTTTGAACTGTCAACACGCTACTTTTCTTTTAATTCTCTGCGTCATTGTATTTCATATGTTAACGTGGTGCCGTTACAGATAAGCGTCAAAACAATATTGCGTATAGATTAGAGATCAGAGACCACTCGAACTCTGTGCTATGAAGAGGTGTTTTGTGGGTGTGTGAGGTAATGTTTACTGAACTTTGAACTTCAGTGAGATGATTTTTCCAGTCAATCGAATCCAATTCTTTGAATTACAGACATTTACTACTAGTTGTAAGCTGGTCTTCAAATGCTCATTGATGAACATTTCATGCATGCTTATTAATTTCAGGTAAAGCCTACTTTAATTCAAATTCATACTTTTTTCAATGTTATGATTTTAAATACCTATGTCCATTATATAAGAAATATATTGAAATAGAAAAATTATAATAATAATAAATGTAAGAATTATATTGTATTTTGCCAAAAATTGTTTGAATTTAAAGTGCAATTCAAATATTTTTTAGCATATAATTAAATTTAGTTTAGGGATCAAAAGATACAAAGTTTGAAACGAACTAGTTTGCATAGCATATTATCTACCTATGTAGTTTTTTGCATTTATTTCATGGCAAGGTGTCTCAGATTATTCTTTCCGAGTATGAGCTATATTTAATGAGGCTTTCTTTAATGAAATGTAATCCAAAACGTTTTTAGTATTAATTTGAATCAAAATTTCCGAAAAGTTATCTATGCTTCAGTTTTCCTAACGAACTTTTAGCTTTGATTTTAACATTACCCAAAGTTTTTAGTCAAGTGCACACTTGATACATAAATATATTAACAAATCTCAATTTGTTTATTCTCCACACACTTCCTACATATATGACGTATGTATTATGTCCTCACTATACTTTCCGAAAAAAGATTTTTTGCATAAAGGAGTTGCAATATAGGCATTATGAATAATAATTTTTGTGCAGAAAAAATGGGAAAACGATAATCAAGATAAGGTGTTTAACTTACATTGCAGTGCCCAAACATCCCCATCGGGTATGTTGGTGATGTTTGTGGCAATTTTCCTTAAAGTGTCGACCCAGTCGGTCACCTGCCCCACACAAGCCGAACTTTTGACATTGTCAGACCATTTTTTAATCCAAACGTCTCGTTGCTTATCATCCCCCAACAAGTCCAGAACGGTTTCCATGTAACTCGGAACTAGCAACGAGCGAAGGATGCCCTCCGACATGCTATTGCCAAAAATTTCCATGCCCACCCCCTCCTGCAGAGGCAACCCATACCCGGGAATTATGTGCTGGTCCGCACTGCAATTCACACTTCCGGACCACACCCCCACCAAGAATAGGAGCAGCGCGGGGGAGAAAATCCGAGAAAATTGTGCCTTCATTCTTACTACAGAGCTATCAAGTGAAAGTAACCTTCCTGCTAACGGTCTGATTCCGACACCCTCAAGTAACCAGCCATGCAACGTATAAATAGTAGTCGGAACTACGCAATTGTTGTGAAACGGAAAAATCACCGTTCTTATCTTAGGACTTTGTACAAACCACACGCAATTATCATCCGACTTTCCTTGATTGGATTCTTGATTGAATGAGGTATGCATACATAGGCGTCTGCATAGATCTGTGCAGAAGCTGATGCAATAAATAATACATAATCAGATTTCATACATACAACTAATTCCATACAACTAATTAGATTGAATCTTGTCAGCCAATTATGATAAACGAATGTCTGCACAGCTAGATATGAATATTGTAAACGCTTTGATTTTACGTTTAACTGTTCGCTAGTTAATCAACAACGCATTTCTACCCGACATTATTTTAAAAAAATTGCCCAGGATTTCATTCCTCGTCATATCTCTTTTACAATTATATAAATGTCATCGTAAAAACATTGACGGATAAAATTACAATAAATTTGTATAATAAAAATTGTTTTTATAGAATTTCTACTAATTGTGAGTATTGGAATTGTATCTGCACATTGACCTGTAGAATCTGTAATGGTGAAAAAATTATTAATGTTTTGTTATTTTTATTATTATTTACAATTTTCATAAACATTGGTTGAACATCTAATTCAATAAATTCTTAATTCCTTTTGTGAGACAAAACCATTCATGATAGAATAATTCGTGATTTTATTTCTCATCTATGTATAAACTTAAAAATAAGTAACGCAGATCAATTTTGACCTTGCAAGTTAAACTTCCAAGTCCAGGACAGGGTTAACGTGGAAGATGGAAAGACCAAATATTAAGGAATGTTTGAGACAAGTATTTGGCTCGTTGCGTCTCACAGTTTTGAGAAATAAAGTTTGTTTCTTTTTGCAGGAGAAAGTGGAGATAAATTGTATTCGAACCAATGCATTGTGTTTGAGTATCCTTCGGGCTAAAGGAGGGTTAATTTGGGTTGACTTACAAAAAAACTCCTTCACAACTTAATAGTAGAAAACTATATTTTAAAATCATTTTATTGTTCACGTATTTGACGCTATTTCAGAAAGAACTGGAGACGTGTGGAGAAAGCGATCCTCAACAATCCCAACATAGCAGTTCAATGGGTTACAACATGTTTAAATCAAAGGTACAAAATATGAACACCGATTGGTTAATTTTTAGCCCAGCTAGGGTTAGTTTATGACTACTTTTTGAGGTGAACAATTTCCAAGGAATGAAAACATACATATTTATGTCCGTCATGTTGGGCATTAATTTCCTAGCATGTCATATATTTTAAATTCATAATGTTCGGGCATGGATGGTCCTAAGTCAATTTACATAAAGCACCTTTGCATAACGGCCATATTGCCTAATTTTTACTACATGAAAGTCATTTTACATAACAAGTCCTATTACATATGTAAATACGTATTGCATAATTGATTGAGAGGAAATTACACATGGAAAAACTTCCTGAATGGCGTGTATAATACCTAATTCGAAATTTTCAGAGAAAAGTGGATTCTAATTTCGCAATTATGCAACGTGTAATTGATGACTATGTAAAATGACCAAAATGGAAATTATGCAGCAGAAATTATGTAAAGCGACCGAAGGCCATAATTACAGTTCTAATTTGAGCACGTTTATTTGGTAACCCAAAAATATTAAAAAGTTCACTTTTTGCAGTTTTTTTAAATCATTTAAGGCCAGGACATCTTCATTTAGTTGGCAAACACAACATGTATAATGTGCTCTTCGATTGAATTGAATTTGTATTATACTGATTTATATGAACATGTGATACAGTAACAATGACCAAGATTAAAGAAGATAACTCTAGAATTATATATTACCTATAAGCAACATACCATGGGAACGTCCATATATTACGTCATCATTTTAGTGTGTGAGTGGTTTAGGTCTTCCTATCTTTCTCATGATAAAATTCCCTATCCCTTAATGTATACGTTCGGTAGGTGGGTAAAATCGAGAATTTTTGATGATGTAATATATGGATAGCCTCCAGGTTTGAATAGTTTGCAGTGGAAACGTTGCACTCTACAGTATTTAAGCCGCTACTTCGATTTGAGAATTTATCCAATTTCATCTTTACTGTAATTCTTAAAGAAATGCTTCTCTTATGTTCATAGTACCCAAATGCAATCCAAGTCAGACAAAAACCGTAACTTAGAAATTTTTTAAAAATTGTAGAGTTTGTCTAGAAAAAAACAGCGTCTAAATCTTTGTGCGTTTTTTATTTTGCAAGAGTTCTCTAAAATAATTTGAGAAAACTAGAATGAGTGCAACATTACTAAGGATAAGGGCTGCTTGAATTTCCTATGTATATATATAATAGTGCGTCGGTTCAAATTCACAATTAAGTCGAAGGCATCTTTTTAATTCAATTTTTATTTCTTTCTTTCCAAAATAGATTTATTATCAAAAAAACACTAGATCATACTTATATACTTTTGTACAACTTAACATTACACAATATCATACATCACGCCCAGTCACACTATTCTTGCTTAGGGTTAGGTTCACCCTCAGCCGGAGTTACCCCAGGCGGTGCGGCGTTGTAATAGATTCCTTGCCGACCTTCGTCTGTTCCGTCTTTCGGCGTGACTGCTTGTCCATCACCGGCACCACCCCCTCGTCGTCCCCTCCCCCGCCTCCTAAAGAACGATAAGAAGACGTAAAGTACACCTCACATGCGGCATTCTCGCTTTGTCTAAAATTCGCATACCTTCAAATAAAATTTTTTCCAGCTGCATAAACGGCGTTTCTATCATCAGTGTGAAGAAGAAACCAATTAAGTATGCCATCACCATGTGGGCAAAGAAAAAGTTCATCTGCAATTAATAAATGTCTCAATAAATAGTTTCACAAAGTAAAATCGATTTTTTTGTGGTGTGTGACTGTCAGTTACCATTGTGTACTCTGAATATCCGATTGGTTGTTTGAATGAGACGTGTAATATCATTTGCAAATGTAGTGACACGAGATACACGCAGTAGCACAGTCTCCCCAGCGGCATGAAGACCTTCCACGATAAGAAATCGTTTATCAATCCGCCATATCCTTTGACACAGGCGAAGATAACCCACGCTATCGATATGCCCCAAGAAAATCTACTGAACCCGGCGTACATGAGACCTCCCGCTGTCGGAATTTCGACCATGGGGTCAAACCAGTCGCGAATTCCGTATAAAACAGCAAGAGTGGCTCCGGTCGATAGCGCCCAAAATAATGCAACGACTGGATATGGAAGTTTGACGCGTTTTCCTTTCGTCTTGAAGAGAATGTAACCCAACCAAACGCCAACAAAGTAGGTCTGAATTCTTGCGTATGGCTTGATGTAGATGTCTTTAAACCAGGTGTCAACTCTACAAAAATAAAACGAAGGTATAGTGAAGATTGACAATTAGGTTGTTTCTTAGCTTAGTTGTTCCTTACGGTTTCGTCCCTAATTTGGTGCCAATGGTTGTGGGGGAAGTTTCCAAAAAGTGAACGAGCAGAATTGGGCTTACAGTTGAGAGAACAGTGAGAACGGCAAGAATGGCAACGCCAATCATTTCCCAGTGATACAAGGGAAGGAGGAAGAGAGGAGAAACGATGTAGAATTGCATATCGTTCGCTAAATACCATGCTTCTCCTTGACACTTCATACGAAGAAGAAATAAACTTACAATGCAAGTCTTTTACGTGTACAACTCAGATCTGCATGGGACCAATTTTATTTTGTTCACCACAAAAAATAAGCATACCCGTATTTTTTCATTTTTCATAATGCGCTAATTTGAGCGCGAGGCGCGAATTTTAAACTGTTTTCCAGCCAAAACCACGGTTTTTAAAAATTCTGTAAATTTTCGAATTTTAGCGCGAATCCAAAAATTCGAAAACATGTCTCTTCAGAATGACTTACCTGACTTATGCAAAATCCAATTGTCTCGAAATTTGAATTTCAAAATTTTTTTCCAGATTTTGAAATTCATTAAAATTATAAACTCTTTCAAATTTTTATTTTTTCGAAAAATAGTGCATGTGCATTTTTCATAAGTCAAGTAAGTCATTCTGAAGAGACATGTTTTCGAATTTTTGGATTCGCGCTAAAATTCGAAAATTTACAGAATTTTTAAAAACCGTGGTTTTGGCTGGAAAACAGTTTAAAATTCGCGCCTCGCGCTCAAATTAGCGCATTATGAAAAATGAAAAAATACGGGTATGCTTATTTTTTGTGGTGAACAAAATAAAATTGGTCCCATGCAGATCTGAGTTGTACACGTAAAAGACTTGCATTGTTAGAACAAGATTCTACATATTAAGTAGAATATGCTAATTTACCAGCCAGCTCGTGTTAACAAAGTTGTTCACGTAGAGCATGTTCGTCCACCAGTTGTCCACACAAATTTGACCCCATCGATCCATAATGAACCAGTATGGACCTCGTCCAGTGTACGGTACGAGAGTGGCCATCACTCCGACTAATATTGCGTAAACTGGAGTTAATCTATTTAATGGGACACAAGATGCAGGATTTCAGAATTAAATTGCTTCAATTAAAAGTTAATACAACAATCAAAATTCACATACCTGAGATATCTGTGAATATAAAACATGGGAATATTCAGCTTTCCTTTCGTCTTGGTCAACATTTTGAGAACATTGTAGGCGACGAGGAGACCACTCAAGACGAAGAAAGTGTCAACAGCAACTGTGGAGTTGATGACGGTCATGATCATAATTTTCTCTTGAAGCTGAAAATTATTAGAAACAAGTTTGCATTTAATTTATGATATTTGTCTTGCACTTGTTCTTGTCCTCTCAGTGCATACCATTTTTACGTCGACCAAATTCCAATACGGAATATAAATCACAACGAACCACGTGTGAGCTAGGATAACCCAAGCCGTACTGAGAAACCGAATTCCGTGCAAACATCCCAAATCATCTGCGGTAGCCCTTGTGCTTAGCCATCTCGGAATGTTCGTGTACATCGAAAAACTGTTGAGACATTGAAACGCCACTCCTGAAAAATTCCAATTACCAAAAATTTAATAGACATTCAATTTATGTAAAATAGTTTACGAAATTAATTCCACTCACCTCGTTTTGGTGGCTTATCCACGCCACGATTCAGCCAGATATCAACCACACTAGATACAACCACAAGAGCTGTAATCACTCCGAGCAAAGCAATGACAGAAAAGTCACCGGCATCCAAATCTGGCTTCTTCCCTACGTAGCAGAACTCCACGGCTGGCCACATCTTCCCAGTTCCGTTTGTGGGATAGTCGTATAAGACCGAGTGGAAAATGTTCATCAGAATTTGTTCAATGTCACTTTGTTCACAAGTATTGGGAAAACAAACTCCGACTGACGGGAATAGTTTAATTCCGTATGCAATGCTGATCAGGCTCTGTAATTTTCGACGAAATCTTATGTAACCAAGTGGTAATACTAATAATAACATTTAACATCATTCATTTTTGTACCCAAAGTTTGGCTGGAGAAACCGCTTTTCGACCCCCAATTGACGTCGGGGGAGCAGTAGTAGGACCAGGAGTTGGTCTTTGTGGGAACGTAGCCCAATATTTCGAAAATCTCGCTTCGGTGTACGGTGAAAGGTACGTGTTGCAGTATCGACCCGCAAAACTGCTCGGCGTTTGAGGATTAGAAGGTGCATATTTCCCCACGTTGAGGTCGACACATTCATCAAAGTCTCCAAGCGCGTTGACATGACCAGACAAAAATCCTTCAGGCCATTTTCCCCAAGCGTCAATCACTGCGTTATATAAAAAAATTTATTATCCGCGATGGATTAGATTTAGTTATTTAAAAATATGTCATTAGTCATTTAGAGGTTTAAAGGTCAATTGCTCGTATTATTTGACGACATGATTGATAATAATTTATGCCGATTTTTCCTCATTTAGAAGTGAAATGTGTGCAAAATACAATGACATGATGACGGGATTTTGAGACCAAAACTGCAACAATGGTCTATATTTATCTACATAATTCTTGCATTGCCGTAAGTGCATCATTATTGGAAGGTCTATCCGATTAATCGTTTGTATTGCCTATCTTAACGACCACGTGCATGTTACACATTTGAACAAATAATGTTCGCCCAGGGAAAAATAGTTGAGGTGACAAATTCTGCCCATCCCTATTGTTCGACATTTGTCAACAAATCTGAATCTGGTTAACACGGCAGAGCAAATAAATCTGATCTCAAGGTAATTAATTGCTACATGATGGATGCATAATACACCTGGCATGTGTCAACATTGGCGACATTGTGTCATTCATGGCAATAAACGCAGAGAGGATTTTACACAATCGACATGTAATACGTATGACTTTTCTTGTTGTAAATTCTCGCCACGAGTGTTCGATAACACTTGTGGACAACTATATAACACTTATTGGACAGGCTCTCATAGTCAACTGAAAAACTATATTTGCTTATTAATTTATTGATGTCAAATATTTATTATAAAATGTTGCTGTTTTATGTACAAATCTGTTCTAAATATCTGAAATTGATAGTGAATCTATGAAAATTGTACTGTAATATTTCGAACACTAATTACCCTAAACAAATAGAATATTTATCATATTATTTTTAGTGGGACAAATACCTAACAACGAAAAAATTATTAAGTATGCATTTACCCCACCCCCAAAAAGCGACCATTTGCTCAATCTCAACCGATTATTGACTCATGCACACATTACTCACATTGCAATGCCCAAACATCACCATCCTCCACGTTGGAAATGTTTGCAGCAATTTTGGCTAAAGTGACTACCCAGTCGGTCACCTGCCCCACACAAGCCGGACTTTTGACATTGTCAGACCATTCCTGAATCCAAATTTCTCGCTCGGCGTCATCCTCCAACAATTCCAGGACGGTTTCCATGTAACTCGGAACTAGCAGCGAGCGAAGGATGCCCTCCGACATGCTGTCCCCAAATAGCTCCACACCCACCCCCTCCTGCAGAGGTAACCCATACCCCGGAATTATGTGCTGGTCGTCACTGCAATTCACACTTCCAAACCACACCCCCACTAAAAATAGGAGCAACGAGGGGGAGAAAATCCGAGAAAACTTAATGTCCACCATTCTTCAAACCCAAGTCCGTCGACCGAGTGAGACTCCAACACCGCTGAAATACGTAGATGTTTGTCGTATAAATATTGTCGGGTTGCGACAGGAACAATTCAAATTCTAATCTACGTCGTCATCATGCGAAGTGATTGATTATTATCTACAAACCATGTTTTACGCGACTCATGTGCTTGCCTTATCTTTGTCAAGTCAATCAATCCAACTCTTTTAATTGGAGTGAAATCATTAAGGTACTAATAATAAAAAATTGGTTGGATACTCGATCGATTGGATGCATAGGGACGTAATCATTCATGTTATGGGGATTGCCTAGGTTATGAATTCGGTATTGTCGTGGACGTGAAACACGGGCTGGGAATGCACACACAGGTTGCGATAAGACGACATTGATTACTTCAGTCCAAGCTGATGGGACAATCGATCCGATATCAATAATAGTCATCGAGTCGTAATGTGATCATTGTGACATTTATCCTTCAATTAATGGAGGAATGATGTTTTTGCGTTTAACTTCCTGATTGAGATTTAGGATGTTTATACCATTGACAATGAATTTGGGAAGAAATGTTGATATCGAGGAAGAGGGAGAAATTTGAGATATTTTACTACGGCGATTTGATCAGAAAATAGAGTATTTTGGATAAAATTAGTTTTAACTCAGCGATGATGCCGTGATTGACTGGCAGATAAGAACTTAAACATGCATACTCGGTATATGTGTACACATTCGTATTGCTGAATGAATATGAAAGAGGGAAAAATCCACTCGAACTATGTCCCATGCAGTGATACGATGATGACGGGACTTTATTGAACTCTGGACACTCATGACATGATTTTTGCCAAACAATTAAATCAAATTGTAGGAATTCCCTAAATTATGTCAACAAAATTTGGTGCACATGCACATCAAAGTTATCAACACAATGATGCATCATTGGGCAAGTGTCGTTCTGGGTTTATCCGACTTACTGACATCGTGTCGTGATTTGATTAATCTCGCATTTCTAAAACTTGTGTCGGATTTCATTTACATTTCGGCCATCTTCCAAGTAGGTAGAAACTTGGTCCTCGTGCGCGTCACATATCATGAAAAATCCCCACAAGTTCTGGACATCAACAAGGTTATTGCGTGATACTCGTAATTAAATTGGAGCCAAGGGAAAGGGTTTGACATGTGTAATTAACAAAGGCTTCTTGCCAAGGTCTCGTCAAAGTTACTTTTTGTTGTACGTAGTCGGGTCGGATTGTTCCCCGAGCGGGTTGTTGAACGTTTGATGTGGTCACATCTTGTCTTCTCCTCGTCCTGCTGCTTGACAGCATAATTCTCAACTTTCTAGGCCAATACCCACAAGATGAGCTTTCCTCGTGCTGCGTACTTTCACCTTCTTTTTCTTTGATCTTAAATTCATTAAAGATACGCCCGACTTGTTTTGCAATCACTCTTGAATTTCGTGATCAGAATGAATAAATTCATTTTGTCCTCGTAAGCATTTTTGTTTTGTGCACAGTTTGCAAACTTCTCGTGAACGTGTCCTTCAGACTTCAGATCACATGGAGAAGTTAATGGTCATGTGAGCTACCTTGAAAATTTGTTGCATTTTCTACTCTTATTAAGTGATTTTGCTCAAATTGTGTGTTGATGAGAAAGTGAGGTGCGATAAAAGATTTGTAGTTGCGAAGGACAATAGTAGGAAATTCATAAGTTGAAGTAATTTGAATTGAATTTTAGTTTTTATTTCACTCTGTTCAAATCATGGATTCATATTTTGATAAAATTAGCACGATTTCAGGATTTTTAATTTCTGAGTAATCATTTTGGCGTATCTCTTTTAACTTGTCCGTTACAAACCCTGAGTTCATAGTCACCATCTACAGCCTCACAAAGGGAGAGTCGGTACTTCATTTCCGGCGTGAGTGGGGGCATATTTGCCCTTGGTACGAGAAAAGTGGAAAGGTTGAACAAATCCAGGAAAATTTTATAGCGATCGCTGTTCGGAATAGATCGAGACTGTGTTATACTTAATGATTAGAAGGCTAGTGAATACGTACCTCAACGTAGACCGGAGGTACTGATACCCGGAAGAACCTCCTGTCCCAAGTTGTTGAGAACCAATCATTCTCTGCACGAGGAGGACGTGGTTATCTGCATAATCAATTGTAATCAAGCACAGCTCCCCTCATCACCAATCCCATTAATAAAATGGAACTTGTAACAGAGAGCAACGTACATCTCCACTTTGTGATAAGAGCATCAATATCCATGAGAGAAGCTAGAAACTGATGGGGCTGATTAAATCGAGGCTCATCTCTGTAAAAAGTGATGAGAATTGCACCCCTCATGGCCTTGTGGGAGAAACGTCGCTCTCCACGACGCACCAAGGCGTCGTGGGTCTTCTCGTCAAATATGGATTCGAATTGTTCCTTCTTCTTCTCCACGTTGTGAATCAGTGCGGCTCGAACGGAGACGTTTGTCTCTTTCTGTGACGCAAATTTGTTAATTTTTTCCTTAAATCGATTAATTCAGATTTGCTGTGTCACACCGACCTGCGCGACATCCGCCTCTCCGTCGAGCAATGATCTAACTACGGATTCATATTTTGCCCAAAAATTGAATCCTGACTCTTCGAGGCCTGGGGTACGTTCTAGCCACCTTTTTGGGATAATTATAGCTTGAGAAATTGGTTCCATACCAGTCTCAATATTTCTAAGTGTATGTACCTCTGAACCAAATCGCATAGCGATGGTTCAGCCTCACTCGTCTTGAGATGACCTGCAATCTCCTCACTCGCAAAAACTTGGATGTAGTGCTCCTTATTATATTTTGCTCGTTGTTCCTTAAAAATGAAACTGGAATTGAACGATTGCCACAAAAGCGTCATATTTTCTGTCTCTTTTACAACAAACCTGTCTAATTCCCAGCTTATTTTCGATCAGACGAAATTGGAATGATTGAAATCCCGATGCGGGGGAAAGATAGTGGCGAAACTCCATAAAGTCCAAGGGTGTCATCGTCTCTAGAATATGCACTTGTTCCACGAGCAACTATTTATGTATTGGTAAATAAATGTTTGGTCAGGAGTCATTAGTAAAATTTGACTACTTTTCTCTGTCCACCTTCAAAATTAATGCACATCTTTGTGTTCTCTTAAGAATCTCGAGCATACATCTCTCATCAACTTCTGACTTGGTGAAGAGTTGTCGGATAGAGTCAACTTCGAACAGAATTTGCTTGAACCACAGTTCATATGCTGTATTTAAATGGCCAGTTAATTAATCATCCCTGACAAGAATTTATGCACACAATTCTACAATTTTTAGAACCTTGATGTGTAATAATGAACAAATGTTCATCATGCACAGCGCCATCCCGCTCCGCGCTCACCATCCTCTGCGCATCCAGAACTTTGTCGAGTTGAAGATATTCCCCGTACAAGAGACCATCATTAATTTCAGCCATGTTGCACCCAAACTGGGCCTCGTCACTTTGGGACAAATTTTAAAAAGGATTATTTCATTATTTCCCAAAATTACGAAAATAAACTTACCCATCACTCATGGGGCACGCCATGATGCAATATTTAACAAAGTTTCTTAACCGATATCACACTCTCAATCCAAACTCTCATGCATATAGATTCAGCAATCCAATTGAGAACTTATCTCACAAAATTCGATATGCATGCCGGACTGAATTCAGACCTTGTTATTCTTGTCGAATAAATAAAAGTTGTGAAATTTTATCAAACAGCATCATCGTATTACTTTCCACATCTTAAAGTAATCCTAAATATATATGTACATATCGACGACACGATATACTTCTTATTGAGGACTGCTGTATAATTTCTTAATGTGCATATTTACCAATCAAGTATATGTTGGCAGTTCATCATCAAGCAAAGTGCAGATCAAAGACGGAAAATCGAGCGAGGATCCTAATTTGACGAGTATGTACATATTTATGTGCTTACATGCATATATCTGTCCAATGTTACATTAGGTGTATTAGAATTTGTTGCTTTATGTACTTTAAATGCCAACAAACAAGACCATGCAGCTTAACCCACTCAACTTTCCTCCAGCTCATCATCATCCGATATTCCTGCCTGACTTATCTTTCATCTTGCTTCACTCATTCCATAATGTGGTGATCTTGGACATAAATTCATTACGTAAAGTGCCCCAAGTAACAAGTCCTTCTTCTTAAAGATGAAGATCATGACACCAAGTTAAGTTTGTTTTCCACATTTTCGCAATCTTGACTCCTCTTGAGAAACACACACCTCAAGATCTGTCACTCATCATCATCAGTCATACTAGTAGCTTTATTCAGTGGCCGCGGAAGCTGTGGGGACATGTGGGGACGTTAACATTGTAGGATATGACCTATTTATTTTAACATGGGTCGATGATGGCGACATTAAATAACTATGGGGACATTGTCCCTCTGTCCTCACGCTTCCACGGCCACTGGTTTTATTATTGGTCTTGACCAAACAAACAAATATGGAACCCATATCTCTCATCATTAGTTTTTATTACGAGGCTGATTAGCAAGTGTCGCATCCAAGGTTTATTTTGAAGACTTCGTAATACTAATTAAATTGAGACGTGCAAAATACTTATTCACCCAGATTTATTACCCGGATGCAAATGAAGCTTGTGGTCCAGTCCTTGGCAATGAATGAGGGTGGCAGACAATTCATATCGTGAATAGGAACCATATACCTTAAATATTTCAGCTTTCTTTAATAATGACGACACACATTCTATTCTTCCAGTGGCAATGTTGACTAACCCAATTATGAATCCCACACATTCTTTTCACCGTCGAGCATAGTGTGCCTCGCTCGACAACAATAATGCGGAAATGTCAGGCTCTCGAAATAAAAGTCGTATTATGGGCGTTGTGTGTGTGGACGTGTGGGCGAATTGTATGTGTGTCTGCCTACCGTACATTTCCAGCACGTGGACACGGATTGCTGAAATATAGGCCAGATTTTTATTCAACTTTTCCAATTTACCGGATTTTGATGATGATGAGAAGGATGCGAGAATTATACGTCTCATCCTTTGATGTCTGCTCTGCTTTGATGAATTATGTACATGTTTTCCTAATTTTATTATCCATCGTGCTCTATGTATGTACTTATTATGATTGGGGTTCATCGGAATCTACCCGGACTAAATAAATTACTGTGTACCATATAAAAATTACCCCATTTTTTACTACTTTTCGCCTACGTGACATTACTGGGATAAAAAGTGTTAATTGCATAGATATTTCATCCATTCAATTTAATATCGATGACAGAACTCAATTCTGTTTCAAGTCATTCATTAGTTTTGCTTTCTTGTTATTCATTATTTCATTATCCTGGTGGTTGTATAGAGTCAAACAAGAACATAATGCGCAACTTCTCCAATGTACCCAATTTGGCAAGAAAGTGAGCATGACCTAATATAACAAAGCGTATTGTGTTGTATGTGAGTTTGAACTCTTGAATTATTGTTATTTTTATACAAGCAGAGTTGTTGAACAATTAAATGGATCGGTCCACTTACAGGCTCCAGAAGAAGGAATACGTCTCAAATTTCTCTCTCTCTCCTGTCAGTGATGATAACCCGGAGGAAATCTGTTTCCTCCTCAGGTTTCATTCCCATTTCATGAATGGTGTGCTCAAAGCCAAGAATTATTATGCATAGATATACAAACAACACAATTTATATGGGATTCTAAGATATGACAATTATTATTACGGGGTTGGATTTTCTCACATTTTATTCGACAACTCGTCATCTTACCAGCTTATCAGTTCCCCCTCCACTTGACTGTCGTCGACGTCACTAGTTCTGCATAGAGACAGACTCGTAATTTGGAAATATTGGCAAGTCAGAAACTTAATTTATGTATTCGCACCTTCCCAGCAGTTTTTCTGAGAAGAACGAACATTCCCCTTCATCGTGGCTGTGGTTTGGTGATGGTGGTGACCCTGACGACCTGTGGATTGGATATTGTTCATTTTGCAATGTGTTGTTCCATCCTCTGTTTCTCCTCGAGTTTCTCTTCCCGTGTCCGGTTGTTGAATTGTTGATCGAGCTCACTTGCACCATTCACCGGGTTCCATCCATCCAAACACACACCGTCCTCTCCTCCGCGTGCATGGTGTTGTTCTCCAGCCCCGATGTCTTGCCTTTCATGGCGGAGTGATTGTTGTGGGTGTGGGCGAACCTCGTGGCGATGGGGGTACATTACTCTAGCCATAATTGTATTGGGATTTGCAAAAGGAGACAACAAAATTCAATCGGAGGAGAAAAAGGGGACGGAAAAGTCATGTCACAAAAGGTTCAGCAGGAGAGAGACTGCGGTCACAAAGTTCAAAAGTCCAAGGCGACGACGTCGACGACAATCTCATCCCAACCACCACAAAGCATTACTGCCATTCAGCATCCACCGTATAATCCGGTATGAAAATTAAAAAAAAAATAACTTAATTCGTGCCAGAGGAGGAACTAAGGGGTAAAAATATTGCAGAAAATGGAGATCGTTAGACGAAGGGTACAAGGACCTCCGAATAGGACGGTAAGCTGAGCTAGTGGGAGGACCAGTGAACGTTCACCGGCGAATAATCAACGTCAAATGTTCGATCGTTACTATATTATTTATGTGTCTCAACCTTCGAAAGACCGAAATGTTTTGTAAGTGTTTGTTAATAATTAATGTTGATACAAAGTTTTTTCTTGTACATTTCTTAATAATATTTACTCGTATGTTCAGTTCCTAAGTACAGATATACAGGTAACATTATCAGTCCATAGTTGTTTGGATAATATTTTTAGTGTTTTAGTGTCACAAATTTCGTATAAAATTCAATGTGTTCAATCAAGTTCGACAGCTGAATTTTTCATTGTCGATGAGTGTCTTTATAAAAAAAATATTTAAGGAATATTCACAACTTTCAGTAATGTAGTATCAAGCATAAGGTAAATGAAGAGTTAGAAATAAGGGGAGATAAAAGACTTATATTGTAAAGTTTTTGTACATTAATATTTTTCAGTTATTATATTATTGAACAATATTATTTCTAAATATGTATGGCTCTGAATGAGATTGTCAAGTGTTTCTCCACTCGTTGCTCCATGATCTTTCTTCCAGTTATAATAAATAATTTAAAAATGTTGCGCATTCCTTGTGACAAATTGATAAGAGTTGATTTCTGTGCTGAGAGAGATTCAAAGTATTTCTGTTAAGTAATTTTGAGACTGGATTTAGCATCTGACCAATGACGTTTATAAAAATATGACTCGATGCATCACAATTCCAACGATGATGGAAAATAAGGACGAGTATCCAGCAGTCGTGGGGGCCGAGTTTCTGTTGCCATCTAACAATGCAATTCAGAGTTTGATATATTTAAATTTCTCTAATTAACGAATGAGCATTTGAATGGAGAACAAGCTCAAATTAATTATTCCTCTCTCTTACCGACTTGGAGATCGATAATCGTGGCATACAAAGCATTGACTGTTCTCTTGAGAAACTCGACATTTTTCGGGGCGTCGGTCACCATTTTCGTGATTGTGCATCCCGAGCTAGCACATTCCGCCTTTCTGTATTTTTCTGTAATATCAAATAGATAATTGTACTATGAATCCATGAAGCAAAATAAAACAAGCACCAATGTGTTAACTAATTGATTTTGCACCTGTGTCGGTGAGCAAGAGAGCTGGAAACTCTTTCGTGGGGAGTTTTCTGTGAATCTCTGGGACAAAGTGGTTCCAGAACGGGGCCTGTTCCGAGTGGAGGAAGTGGATGGCGGAGGGGGCGTGGGCGTTGAAGGTCGACTGCGTGTAGGAAAACCGAACCAGAGCAGGATCGATGTCAACCTCGGCCTCGGAACGCATGGACTTTGAGGTTGACCTCCATCCACGTTCAAACGCCTGGACGAGAGGAGTGTCAAGCTCATCGTCTCGGAAAACCATGGCCAAAAAGTCCCCCTTGAAGTTACGCTTTGACATTTCTTGATACGCCAGTGGGAAAGCCTGTGAAATATGATCCATAATTAGCACATTTGACGAACCAAATTACTTGGCGAGGACAATAATGAATATTATCATTAATTCAGCTACCTTGTCGAAGAGTCCGCCGTACTGAGACTGCGACCTCTCCTCGTCGTTATAGTTCATGATGGAGTCGAGAACAATGGCACCGCCAAAACGAGACCGACCTTGCATCATTTGCGGCAAATAGAGTTGGACCAACGCCTCCGCCCCCGTTCTGGCACCATCCGGAAGACCGTATTCCTGCACATTCGTAATTTTTAGGTGATAATTGGCTACATAGAAAATATAAACTGATATAAACATAAACTGAGTTTCGCTGAATTCCACTCACATATTTACTGAGAGCCATGTCCGTTGCGGCGAAAATGAGCGTTCTCTCCAAAACCAGCTTCCCCGTCGTAATTTGATGTGAAACATGTTCCGCCAATGCGACCAGGGCCACGATTCCCGAGCCATTGTCGTCCACCGGGTTCACCTCCGACTCATCCGTGTCGTAGTTGGCCAGAATTACCAATGGCGCATCTTCGGAAGCATTTTTGGACCCATGAAATACGACCTAGTAGTTGGTTCCGGTTATATTCCGCTCCATCGTTGGTGTGTGAAACACCTTAAACCACAACATATTTATTATTTCAGAGTGGTTTAAGTACAGCAGAGGCGATGCTTATTTCTGCTTATCTTAAAGTACTAGCTTAAGATAAACTTTAGATCTCACCTTGGTTTCAAAGTTTTGCTGCAAAAACTGGTTGTGCTCAGCGCCACCCGCTTTCCCTGAAGACGTGACCGTGCTGACAAAGGAACTCAACCTCCAACTCAAGAAACTTTGGATTCCTTGACGCCCTTCATAGGTCGCGGGGTCACGGGAAACTTCGAGATTCGTTTCCTGAAATATTCCACGCAGACTTTTTGTGGAGATTTCTCCGGAGGAGACAAACGAGGCTACACATTTACAAGAATGCAATTAATTTATTACATATTTTCGTCATTATAATTAAATCATATTTGACGCAGCCGAGGTGCAAATTATCAATTATGCCCGAAGAGGTTCTGTTCTGCATGAACCCACGCCCATCGTCTATCGCGAGGAGAGGAAGGAACATGATTAATGTGATGACCTTGCTCGCATTTTTATTCTCAAATCTAGACCTGATTGCCATTTAAAAAAATAGAGCAGACCAGACCAGTTCCAGTTCCAGTGTCATCTGCTACTTTAACAGCCAATAATTAAGTTGGAAAAACTGGAGTTAAACTAACTTCTGAGTAAAACAACTACTGCAGCAGCAAAATTCTCATGCATAAAATTTCGGTGGTATGGATGCGGTGATTACGTAATCTCATAGTGCGAATACATAAACCAGCACGGTTGTTTAGCAAGTCAATTAAAAATATGAATGACCACACCGCAAAAATTAAGATGCATATTATCGTTAAATGAAGGAGTGAAAAGAAACGCTACTTGAATATTGAACTGATGCGAAGCGTAAATTATGGAGTAAAAAATAAAGACTACAAATTTAAAAAGAAAAATTATTGAATAATTTTTGCAAAAATTTTCTGCATCAGCCGGGAATCGAACCCGGATCGACCGCGTGGCAGGCGGCCATTCTACCATTGAACCACTGATGCGACTCTGACAGTCACAAACCTCGACGCCTCACTTATTTTTGCACATTCGTTGCCAAACAATGGCTGCAAAAGTTTCGAATAGGCACAGACCCTCAAAAAGTGACACATTTTTTGTGCAAAAAGTGGTGAATGGCGTTGAAGAAGACGAAGAAGGTACCGCACAAATGCATAAACTCTGCAGCATCAGCACGAGCACACCGCAACCAATCTCTCCTTTCACACTCGATCTCTCACTCTGAACCATGCGAATATTTTTTGCAATGTTAAGTGATCACGTTTGTAGGATTACATTTGCAAGTGGACATTATTCAAGTACGGATATGGACACGGCAAGTGTCATCGGATCAGAGACCAAATGTGCAGAAATTCATACAAAATCAGGAATACGAGAATCTCACCTTCGGATTAGCAAAGTGAGATCATGCCTCACAATAAGTCATTTAAGCACAAGTAAAACCATTTGTAGATTGGGTTTCTTGTTTGGTGGATGAGTAACAAGATTGCGATGCCATAAATTTGCAGTCACTTTTCGCATTTTCTTCCCCACACCTGTTACATACTCGCCTTCAACGAGTACACCTTACAATGAGCGACCTTGTTAACGGCCGTTCTTGAAAATATCCGTACTGGACAAAACTTCATTTCTTGAGCTGTGACGAGATGAGGCCATTTATTTGCGCATCTTCATTTCGCACAATTCTCCTAAAAATGCTACTGGATTGAATGAATGAATGCAAAATGAAAGTGACACACGCAAACATCAATCAACAATTGATCAAGTGTGACTAACCCTGTGTGACTCATATTCACAATTCGCAAGTATGCGTGAGTTGTAGTGCAAATCGTATAAATTGAGTCATCATTTCATATGAACAAACTTATTTTATTTAGCTGTGAATGTGTTGCCTTCGAAATATTAATACATGCAAAACCACAATTAACTTGGCGTTAAGCCGCAATAAGTTGCCAATCGCAATGCTTAAAGCTTTGTTATCGGAACCGTCCTTCACACCATTAACCAATGTTTATATTCATGTAACTATTTTTGGCTGAAATTCTCAAACGCATGTCTACAAAAGGTGCAATTAAGTAAATGTATAATCCATTCGTCTTACCTCCAATTGTCAAAATAAGCACACCAAGTGCCACACTTTGGGTTGAGATTTTCCATGATTTCTCCATTTTTATAATTCTGATCTTCTGATTTTCAAAATGCTTGAAAACTTTGGTAATAACGCTTATGTTCTCGGTCACTGAATGATATGAATGATAAACTTTTGGTGCTGGACTCACTACTGCAAAACTCTGACTTGACTGTCTGCAAATTGTGCTACCTGACGATTCCACCACTACCGGCAAATTCACCAGGTTTTATGGACTGAGGCTGAGACGCTAGAACCTAAACCACTGTATGTAACCTTTGTTAGTGTTAAACCAAGTCTGCAAAAGACCGACCAAAGAGTGCAAAATATATCCCCTGTTCTTGTGCTAAATATTTTGCACGCTGGGGTTGGTTACCACTTGAAATATATGCGTAATGTTGCCTTCGTTCTCTTAACAACATAAACAACGTCCACATATGTACATATTACATATTACATACACACAGGATGTTGGTGGGTTTGCACTCCTTCCTTCCTTTTCTTCACCAAATTTTATGTCGAATTGTTTACTGCAAGCAAAGTATTGGCAGCATATGCGAATTATTACGAATAGCCCACTATCGAATGTGCAAAAAATGACTCATGGCTCCTTTTGCTCGAGTATTAATCACTCACTCTCAATCATACGCTCTCAGAAGAGAAGAACGACTCATCCAGACTAATCCAGAGAAGTATGATGAATGATCTTAAACCAATAACAATTAACTAATATGACATTAATTTTACTTTACATCATTTCTTCATAGAAGGAGTGCGTCTTAACGTATGTAGAACTTTATGTGTAATGTTTAATGTTAGTCACAACTTACTCCTTAATTTACGATAATACAAAAAAGTTTGTAGCATATATTTGTGTCATTCCTATTGACGAATTCTGATTAATGTGACCGAATTCAAAAGTGACGATGAGTAATGAGTTAATTGTATTTATATATAGAAATTAATCACCTATGTAGTATTACAATTTAGATGAATACCACGTCAAGTGTTTCACAAAACCGTTTTCCATATTTCGCATGGGAATGTGAGACAGAGTGAGAAAAGTGGTTCGCGGTGGGTATCCATCATCATTTCGAGTCAGGGTCGTATGAAATCCATTTCTCTTCGTCTCACTTTTTCCATGCAAACTTTTCATCCAACCAGGCGCCTCATTTTATTATATATGTAACCCGAAATTACCGTTCAGTGTCTAGTATACACCATACCTCCTATTATCGTCATCATAAATTCAAGAGTTTTATATTTGGGGCGATTTGGATAAACTAAATTTGCTTATCTGAAAAATTGATAAGTCTGGAGATAAGCCCTATAGCGTTAATTTTTCAGTGAATATCACCATCATAAATTCATAAAAGCTTAAGTTTTAAATTTGGGGCGATATGGATAAACTAAGTTTGCTTATCTGAAAAATTGATAACTTAATTGATAAGCCTCAAAGCATTAATTTTTGAGTGAATATCACCATCATAAATTCAGAAAAGCTTAAGTTTTAAATTTGGGGCGATATGGATAAACTAAGTTTGCTTATCTGAAAAATTGATAACTTAATTGATAAGCCTCAAAGCATTAATTTTTGAGCGAATATCACCATCATAAATTCAGAAAAGCTTAAGTTTTAAATTTGGGGCGATTTAGATAAACTAAGTTTGCTTATCTGAAAAATTGATAAGTCTGTAGGTAAGCCCTATAGCGTTAATTTTTGAGTGAATATCACCATTATAAATTCAGAAAAGCTTAATTTTAGCAATTAGATCGATTTGAGGCTACTTTAATAACTTTATTCTTTATCATTATTTTTATGGGTAGTATTTCCCAAGCAGCCATACTATGTATGTATGTATGTTACGGCTCTTGCAAAATAAGCCCCTCCCTCAGAAACTTTGACCCCAAATTTCTCGTGGTACCATCGATTCCCTTCGGGCAACAAAAGCTGAAAATGTAGCTCTTCCCAAGGAGAAAAATCTGGCATCGGGTTGTCCGAAGTAAATGGGTGGTACCATGCGTTTTTTAAGGATTTCTGTGTACGTAAAAAAACCGCCAATTTTCGAATTTTGAAACTCTTGATGCATTAAAATGTTCGTATTTCAAGGGGAAGTCAAATTGCAAATGCAAGTATAGGTCTAACTCTTATTCTACACGATGTACATTGACTTTCTCATTTTTCCGAACTTTGTTCCTTTATTTTTATAGGGGGTGTGGTTGCACAGAATTCAAAAAATGTTGTGGTACATTTGTCCTTGTACCCACAATTGCATTTACAATTAATTTTATTTGATTCAATGAAATCGATGCGAAAAGCTATGGAACGTATCCGTCATTTTATCTCTTTAGTCGCACATTATACGTACTTATTGAAAATAAGTATTTGTTATTTCATGGTTGTAAAATAAATCTTACTAATTGCTCGTCATAATTCAAAAATCTGTAGTCTTCAAATCCTTTGTAATAAGAATTATGGCTTAGAAAAGTTCCATGCTTTTCAAGTATTACGAAGTTTTATCACATTTATTAGCTGAGAGTGAACTACGTATACATATGTAGCTGTGTATCATATTAATGATTGACATATGTATGCAAGTTGCATAATGCAACCCAGAAGGTAGAGTGAACTTTGTATTTCTTAATTTTTCTTGGAAACCAACTTCCCAGGGGTTAGACATATGCCAAAAACTCAGTTTCGAAATATTTGAATAGTCAATTGCAACATACTCCCCAGTTTCCATAATGTCAAAATCTTCATGAATTTTTGAATATAATTTATGACAAGTTAATTTGACACCGATTTTTTGAGAGGGTATATTTATTTCCGGTCCAAGTTTGCGTTTGTTAATTGAACCCTAATTCCGTGGCTTTAACTTGACGTATTCACTTTTGTAAAGTGTTGACCTTCTGAAAATCGGATGGGCTTGAGAACTTTGTCCCTGTTTTTGCCACGTTGACGACAAACAACTTATCAGGGGATTGTTGAAATGGTAATTTTTGAAATCCTCGGACTTTAAGTAAATTTCAGTTTTGAACATATTCTGTCTACAAAATTTGCCAGGCCATTGAAAATTCATGGATTTTATTAATCCATGTTTTTATTAATAAATTTCCAAATTCTTGGCTTCCAACCATTTTTTCTATTCTCATTCATAATCGACAATTACAAGTCATATACCAAAAGCTAGTGACGCACCCTTTCAGAAAATGTAGTATTTTGTTACGAAACATTCTTGTTTGCTCGAAATGTTTGATCGCGCCCCCAGTGTTATACAATATTGACATCCATACTTCCTTACATAACGGCTCCGTTCTACAACAAAATACAGGCTGAATTTTCTAGACAAAGAAATGAGCCAATGCGATAGAGCAGTTTAATTTTATTTGAGCACATGCAGTAATTAACACAGTGAAATCTGGGTCGATATCCTATAAAACCAACAAATAAAGCGTGCCCTCATCTCAATTTAAATATTCCCAGCGTCTCTATGCTCAAAATCGACTCCACAGAGAGAATTTCCAAATCGTCTGTTGTTCAGTATGGACAGGAACAAGGATTTAGTGAGAAAACAAACAAATCACTAATCCTAGAGTTTGTTAAGCCCTTATTCGTAAAACCCGTAAAATCATTTTATAGCACACGTATTTAAATAGGAGCAAGAAACCCGTGCGCTACTTATTTGCATGTTTCAAACAAAATCAGAACCACCCATAATTTTTTTTTTTTCATTTTTCATTTATTTCTCATAAACTTATTGCGCTGATTGACAATAACTAATTGAAAGAAATGTAGTAATAATGATAATAATAATACAATTGATGACGATGCGTCCCCAGCAATTCAGTATTCTCAACTTGACTTAATACAACTAAACCGCTTAAATCTGTGTTTTAAGCTAATTTAATTAATGTTTAATTAATTACGGTAAACGGTGCAAGTAAGTTAAAGCTTGCATGGTTGCTGTGAAGCATAATCATTGTGATGAGGAGAGAGTAGGATTACTTAATAATAAAATGCAATACTTCTTCCTTGGATGGGGTACAGGTGCTGATCTGAGGATGATGATACATAAATACTCAAGAGGTTTGATTCTAATAAGTAAAAGGCGAATAAACGGAATCTGTTTATACTTATTCTTCCTAGAATTCTGAGTGTTTTAAGTAAATACATACTTAATTACTTGCTTAAATATTAGAACATTGAGAGAATTCAGTAATTACTCGGTTTCGAAAAATATCGAGTCTTCTTCTTATGCAAACCCTTTTCCGGTGTGTCCGTGTCACATTCTTTTACATTTAGCTATGATAATTTAATAGTTATGTTAATATGTTGTGGTTATTGTTACCCGACATTACAATTGAGATTACGATACGACGACGATGATAAACACTAAATCATACCAACAAAAAATTAATGACATTATTCATGCCATAATTCTCTGTGGAGTCGTTTCAAAATAAAAGTTGAAATTTGAAAAAGTCCATCATTAAAAATACCGAGAAAACATCACCCGTAAATAAAATACGGAGGAGTCGATTTTAGTTTTACATACAATACAAAGCAAGAAGACAAAGGTATAAGTAAAATACGACATTTTGTTGTGTGTGACTGACTCTGAATGGAAATATTTACAAAATCAAGACATAAAGTTACATCATTCGATATCTTTCCCCGCACTAAAAACACCACCTTCTGACTTGTCGGAGTGTCTCACTTGCGGTGGGAATCGAACGCTTTATTTCATTACGTTTAATTAGTTTAACTTATTAGTCTATTAACTATGTACTTAGCAAAAAGTACGCTGTTCTTGATGAGGTCGTCGTAATTTTTAAAATCTTTACTTCATCTTTTTTCCCGATAAGGATGAGTAGTAGTGGTTTGTATTATTTTCTGGCCGTATAATATATATGTATATAGTTTAGTTAATAGTACATGTATATATATATATTATATTATTTTATACTAATCAATTACCACATAATTAAGTTATGGTCAGACATTACGTAATGATCTTTTACCTCAAGTTTTTGCTTAAAACGACGGAGCTTTTACTAATTTACTCTTTTTAACAAATAGAAAGAAACTGGAGACTGAGATGACTGGATTACAATGCATTTGCTGTTGTTTGATTGTTTATCTAAATAACTAGAGACGAGAATACTCTTATCCATAAAATACTCAGGCGTTTACTGTTTTTTTCTTACTCCTCCTATTTTTTTTATTATTTACATTAAAACGATTGGTAAAACGGATGTTGGATGCACATAAAATTTCCAGTTTTTTTATAATGATGACGATAACTTCTCATGCATATTTCATATTTTATATAGTTGATTATACATAATTTTGATAATTTTACGCTGCTGATGAATGAAGATGCTTAGTAAGGTAGGTGTAGTCCAGTAGATGTGTAGTATTATGTGTATATATCAGATAGTAGAGTAGCAGTAGTAGTAGTCGATGACGACAAGTACAATTAAAATTGGCTAAGGTGATTTCTACGGCTCCATTATTATAAAATACAGCACCCTGCACAGCAGCTACTGCTCCCCGTTTTAGACTTCTGGCGTTGGTCTGCAAAACAAACAAGGATCAGGTTTTAGATGTTGACATAATTTCATGAAAATTTCAACAGCATTAATATGTAACAAGGCCTTCTCCTCGTCGTCATGGCTTGGATGGTGGTTGATTGTGTGATGTGGTCTATGTAGGCGAGTACAAAAGGACTACAAGAGCAGAGCGGCTGCTGGGAAAAGTTAATTAAAGTATAGATCTCGTAGCATGGTGACGAAAGAAAGCGGATTGGATTTGCATCATCAGTCCGACAGACGCACAGCACAGCCAGATCAAGTTTTCGAGGTTGAAGAGACTTAATTGAGTCGTCGTCATATGTAGGTAGCCAAAAAGTGGACTCGGTTTGTTTGTGGAGGAAAGAAAGAAAGAAAGATGAGGTTTCTTTTATGTGACAGATCCAGGAAATTAATACAAAGACTGGAAATTAATAATGATGGCCAAAATCGAGTTGAAAAGGAGGATGAGACCCAATTTTCTGGGAAACTTTCAGAAAACTTGCTCTGTTAGAAAGTAAAGAACAGACGTGAAAGGGCTTGGATTAGGTTTCATTGAGACCATTTCGCAAAATTGGAGGATAAAAATACACAATTTGACAGAGGCGAATCAAGGAATCATGTTCAAATGTCACTCGTACCTACATAAAAGGCAACTAATGTATATTCTGTCAGAAAAAGAACTTTGCGAAATGTACATATATCTCCCATTCAAAATACGTATTGAAAACCTATACCCTAGTTTGAGTAATCCCCTCTCTTTTGTATTTTTTAATTTAAATTTAGATTTCCACTGAGAACTGATCCCTCTTGTTCCCCTCTCCACCATTCTATCCAATTCATGCATAACCTTGAATTTTCCAAAGAATCGGAAATGAATTTACAACCAACCACTTTATTTTGCTCTCCTTACTTGCAAAGAGAGAGAGAGAGAAGGAAGGAAGCTGAAGGAATAAATCTCTTTTATTTACAAAGTGACATGACATTTATTCTTCGCAGGACGTGTGTATACGTGGAGGCAGAAAGCCCAACCAGTTTTAGTAGCAACATTTTCCTTCTCGCTCCCGTCACCCTTTGTTGGGCCACGTTAAGAGAGAAGTCGAGAGAGAAAGAAGGCAAAGAATGCAGAGATTTTTGGCAGAGATGCCAGACCGAGGTTGAGATTGTGGTGCACACGTACCCAGTAAGTAGCATGTCTTTTTAGCTGCAGTGTGATGGTGCAGCGTTGGTGGCGTGGCGTGACCCTGAAGGACAATCCAGTGTCCCTAGTCCCACCACACCACCAGCTCTCAAACTCCACTGCTGTGCGGACTTTCTCCCTACCGGAAAATGTGGAAATTGTATACCCGGAGAAAGTCAGAGTCAGGGTCTATCCGTGCACAAGCCAGCCAGCCGGCCTTGAGTATGTAGGTTAATGTTAATAGTAGCAGCAGCAGCAGCAGAAGCTAGCTCCGCCCAGACCGACGACTGCTTTCACCTCGAGGGAGCAAGGTTGGTAAGCATGCAGCTGCTGCTTTAGTTCAGAGTCAAGGAAAACCAACAAAATGATGCAGGAGGAGGAAGACCTTTCATAATTTTCCCTCTGCCTTGCCTTCCCAAGTAAATGAGGGGATTGCAGAAATAGAAATTTGATACCAGGCTCCCACACACGTTTCATTAATGAAGCAAATCAAGTAAATAGGAATAATATGCGAGCATGTGAGCTGCCTGCTCCTTCCTGTTCGTTCGTGGGTTGTTTTTTTATGTGCAGCACACTGGGAGATGGAAAGGGAAGAGAGAAAGTAGCCAGGCGGCAGGGAGGTTACAGTGACGCAGGTACTTTTAGGCACCTACTCTGAGAACCTGCAGAGAGCTGTTCTCTGCTACTGGGAAGTGCGGATTGACGTTGCTTTTCCCTCCTGTAAAGACTTTCGAGTCCTTACATACGAGGGATTTGGTCGTGGATGTGGGGGAAAATCTAAGGAGATTACGTTTACGGGATGAACTTGAGGCTAGGTTTAAAAAATAATATGGATGTGAATGGGGAAAGTGGAGAAGTAATTTTGCAGGATTGCCTAGTTGTGGATATCCTTGAAAAAACTACTCGAATAAGTCTCAAAAAAGTGCAGCATGTGTAAAAGAAGTCTTGAAAGGAGAGGAAAAAACAATCAATAAATATTATATCGATAATATTACCCAATTTTGTGTGGGACTTGTAAGAATCCGTAAAATCAATATACGTTTACATGACTATTACATATGTAATAGCGCTATGTAACGAGACTGGTATATGTATGACGAAGGCTATCCACTTAAAAACCCTATACTTCTCCAAATCTCCTTCAAACAGTGTCTGTGTGCATGTGTGAGAAGGAATCTGATTGACAAGATGATGAAAGAAAAGTAATATCTTTCCCAGAAATTGTGACGAGTTTGTTTCCCTTTAAGGTGAAGAAAGATGAGTTTAAAGAACACAATCTTCCAGTATTTGTGTCGGCAGGCCCGTAGCGACGCTGGAGAGAGGTGGAGAGACACTCTCCAGGCCGTGCAGCCCAAGGGGCCGTACCGCCGGGATCCGCTAGAATACACTATATAAAATCGGAGTTTCGAAGTTTTTTGTGGGGCATATTAGGCCGTACCACGGCTAAACTCTCCAGGCCGGACGAAACGTCGCTACGGGCCTGTATTGTGTGAGCATCACCATCATTACTATTTCATGGATATCTCCATCTCACTCTCGCATTTACTACCCCGCTCACCTTGGGAGTTGGGTTCGGGAAGATTTTCTCTGGGCACCAAGTGCATCACGGTCGTTTTGCAAAGAGGGAGGCCGAGAGCGCCCAGCGTCACATTGCTGTGTAAGAATCGTCCTAAATAAACAAAAACTTTGCATTATTTCAAGTTCAGATATATTAATTTGTAATAAGTACCTTGATAAATCAGTCGCAAAATTTCCGCCTTGGATACAGCCTCATCTCCCCATTCTGCAAAAACAAAATTCATTTGATGTTATTAATTTGTAACTCTTATGGTCAATAATCTATACGTAATGTTGGCACAGTAAATTGAGTTATGGTCGCTATTGATCTTGTGTTGAATGCATGTGTTTCATTTCATCTCATCCGCACACGTGGACCCGACCCACATTCAAAAACTTTTCCCAATTCCACATAAACTTTCTCCCCCGCCACATTGTACTTGGCTACTACTCCGTGGGGAGAAAATGGCAATATGTTCATGCATTCGAAGGCTGAGCGCTAACTATCATAAAGTTCTCTCTCTATTCTGTTTCCTTTTATTTTACTTCATTTCACTTCACATTATCGTGATTATCGTCGTCGTCGTCGTAATGATGGGTGGAAATGGAGGTTTCGCAGAAGAAGAAACAGTAGAGTGGTGGTGATGTGGTGTGTGGTTGTCCGCCCACTAAAACGAGAATTCGCAGCAGTCTGATAAATGTATTCCCGGAGAAAGTAAGTTCAGGTCCAGCAATACGGGATCCATTAGGCAAATCCATTTAACAATCGAAACTAGAGTTGAAAGCTTTCATTGAGCAGAGAAAGAGAGAGAGAGAGAGAGCGGAGAGAAAGTGACTCGACCTTGGTTTTGTAGACAATAACTAACTAAGGCATAACAATGGGATGTGGCCGGGCACGGGTGCGGGTAGGAGGAGGAGTAATTTACTCCACGCCGTAATAATGTCGACGAGGATTTAATACCAAAACCAGAACCATCCAACCACACATCACTGCACAAACCTAATAATCGTTAATGCTAATTCTATTCTATTCCATTTCCATTTTGGTTGAGCGAAAGGAGAGACAGAGCAGCGTGGAGAGATGTATGTGGCGTGTACCTCCGAAAATGATCGGAAAATGATGAATTTGTTCCCAGGTTTCAAATTATGTTTGCCAATTTGATCCAGAGAGGAGAGAAGAATGAATGATTATTCGCATGGGAGAAGAAAAGAGATGACATGATGACGCGAGTTTGATTGCGACCTTGAAATTTGGCTCCTCGACTCTAGAGTCTCAGATTTTCAATTTACAAGCCATGTATAAACAGGGTTTTGTTACTAATAACAAAATTCTATCTTCTTTATAACTTTTTGTCAATTAATTTTAAAGAGCGAGGCAAAAAAGCAGCCCACCAGCACCCCCACGAAAGTTCGACATCAGCACAATGAGAAAACTAATATTACCATGAGTAAGGACCTACTGAATACAAGAGATTAGATTTCACATTACATCCGGTGCGAGTATATATGAGAAGAATGACATTTAATAAATCCGTCCAAACCATGTCGTGCATGTCGTGCTTTGTCCACCTCCAGCGTAATTCAGACATTTTCTTCATTCTACTTCAGCAGAACTGCAGCCAGTCCATAACATATGGAACGAGATAAGAATCCCAAGTAACTTATTTATCTTTTTTCTCTCTTCAGGTGTGATTTGTCCGCAGTTCGCACATACATATAAATCCATATCTGTTACCTATTTCCCAATTTAAAAACCTATTTCCCATCCCACTAGGCAAACTGTTACCAAAACTTAATATTAAATAAATTTTCCCGAAAACCTCAAGAAATTTGGTGATGTCCCATGTACTGTGTATTTCTTGAATAGTAAATGCCCACTACCCCTCTAAAGTTGTGCATTGTTTTTTTAAACGCTCGTTCATCAATCACTGCCATTTAGCATCACTGAGAAAATAGTTTCATTTTATCAATCTCCCAGTATTCTAGCTATTTCCCAGGGCGTTATATGCCACACTTTTTGGAGCACTGATCCGACCCATACGAGTGAAATACGTAAAGTTTAATCGAGTCCAAATAATGAATTGGTGGTGGGAATGGCTTCCTAATAAAAAAAGTCAATATCCTCTCGCTCTCTTTCTCATGACTTTATTTACAAGACGTTGCGAAACCAGATGCCTTGCCTGGCTGACTGGAAATTGGCAATGTGGTTTGATCTGGTTCTCTATCTCATTCTTGCCACGGTATCTTGATGACTTATGCGGCGGCTTATGCTTATGCTTTCCTTTCAACAAGCAAACACACAGGCAGAACGAGGAATCGGTCGGATCCCCTCTAATCCGAAACGGAAACGTCAAGTATTCCTCCCAAAAAAGAGCTGACACGGGTTTGGAATGAGAAAGAGAGAATGTAAATGCAAAGAATAAAATCCTCGACTTGTTTTCCAATACATTTTGAACAGGAGGAGCATCAGAAGGAGCGGATGGATGGAATGATCATGGCTATGGCTTGATGTTGTGAGTTCATTTCCAAAGTGGGTCACAGATTCGCATCTTTCGACACTCACGCACTCACGAAGAGCGAAGCAAGGAACGAACCATAAAGAAGGCAACGGAATAAGCAAGACTACTCCTTGGAATAAAAGAGGACATCAAAGAGCTCGTACCATACATCACGCCGAGGACGAGGAGAGGAATAAGTAAGCAGGAGATTGTGTAGTTAAACTTTGAACAAGTCCCCGAGTTAAGCAGAGCAGATCAGCAAAGTGAAGTAAAGTGAGTAAAGATGAAGGAAATTCGAAGGAACAGATTGAGATGAATCGCGTTTTTATAATTTCATACCAACGCCACCATTTCTGTCTCACCCACTACTTCCACTACTCCACCGTACATATTGGCGAAGCCTCGGCATGATGCACACTTTCAATAATATTCGGCTCCTTTTGTGCAGTTTGTAAATGGTTGAATCATAAAATCAAAACTACTTAAACTCGTTTCAACTAACAAGTTGGTTAATTCCTTACATTAATTTGTACATTATTCTGTAAAACACATCATTTTGGAGATTTTAAGCTCAAAGTGAAAGTTCATAAATAGATTATGATGATGATGAAATTGGATGGATAGACCATTTCTGATTGATTGGCATTTGAATGTAATTCTATTATTGAATTGGCAACTTCTCTTATCGACTCTTTGTTTCTACAAGTTGTGCAATTTGCAACTCATTTAAACTTTTAGTTGCTTGCTGCTTCTAGAGTGGTGGGTGGATGGATGGATTCGTGAATTGGGAGTTTCTGTCCCTGAAAATTGTCTTTGTCGTCGGTTCAACCAAACCGAATTAAGCAAATTTTGAAAGTCTTCATTGCTCCTCGAGTTAGCAAGTAAACCTTTTTATAACGCTAAGTTTCAAGTTTCTTGCTGATGTCATAGTGAATTTACAGGATTTTATCATTATCCCACTTTTTACGTACTTGATCTCCACGTCTTTCTCATATTTCCAATTCCTTCCTTCGACTGGAAGAACTTTTTCCAGAGTAGATTTTGTTAATTAAAACGGCTGCGTTGGAGGGTGCATTGTTGTTCGTGAGGTGTTGAAAGGGACAATAAAGCGATGATATCCTCCTCCTCTTTCTCCTCTGGGAAAGGAGACAAAGGAGAAAATAAATTCCAAGTCGTTGCCAAAAGAAAGAAAAGTTGATTGGAGCCAAGGGGCATTGAAAAAAAACCGGTGTGGTCGGGTTGGTCCCGAGAGGAATTTTTATAATAGCGACAACTTTTCAAGGATAAATTTTAGTTTATTAAAAGGAGGACGACAAATTTAGGAGACGAAATGAAATGAGACTCATCTGATTAATGCAAATGCCTCTCTCTTCCTAAACTTGAACGTGATCAAGCTTTATGTCAGACTCGCTTAATTATCACAAAGTGCAAAAGCATGAGGAGGAGGAGGAAACCACGCGGTGACATTGTCATTGACACTAAAACCAAACTTTGGGCAACTATAAAATGAAATTATTATAGTGGGTTCAGAATTGTCCGCAAATAAGCTAAAGAAAATTAGATTTTGGTGACCATGAAATGAATGAGTGACAGGGTCCAAGAAGTTTGAAACAAAGGGTCGAGATTATAATTTCATTCGTCTCTTTAACCTTTTCACCTTTAACGCTAAATAAACTAGTTGAGAATTTGACTTCATTTAATTCCCTTTGAATTCAAATTTAGACTAACAAATTTAACACACTTGGTTTTCATCGCTGTTTAGAAATCAAGGCAAGTTCAGATATACGAGAAAAAAATTGTGGGGCGAATAACAACCAACCACAAAAATAGATTCGGGTGGTAGTGGTGGTATCCTATTCTATAACAATAATAATAATAATACGATCTCCTCTAAGCAAGACAAAAAGTCGTCGTTCGCAATAACTAGTATGAATGGTTGTTATTTGCTTGTTAGGTATGGTGCGAGCTTGATGGTGAATGAGAAGAAAAAGTTCTTTTCGCAAACCCCAAAGGCATGAAGAGAATATTGCGATTTAAAAAAAGTTCAAGACCATTAAACCTTTGTTCCACAAGGGATAGAATTATTATAATGCAAAACTACTATTCGGCTTCATTTTCAAAATTCACACGGTTTCATTTCATCATCATCGTCCGATCTTACTTGTTAGCACCAAAATGGAGTGACATGTCAAAACCAAAGCTATGTATCCCTCACGAACTTGTATCTCATCTCTAGTAGGTTGGCGATTTTAACAGTTTTCTAAAGGTCAAGAGGATCGCCACAATAAGCTCCGAATTTTGAGTAGAGAACGTCCTCTTGGCTTTCACCACGACATGATAAGCCGTGTCGTTTACAAGCGTACCCAAGTAAACACCACCTCGTCAACTGTAGGACCATGTGTCTTATTGCTCTTAAAACATGACACGATTTCAATTTGATGCGAAAAATAACATCCAATTTAATGATAAGGATGTATGCATGTATTTCATGTCGCATTAACTTGATGATGATGATGACGACGACAACGATGGTTCTTGGTGTCACGGTATGCTATGTACGGTGATGGTGGTGGCCAATAATAATGTACATTTTGTTTTGCCACACAACTTTATTGTTCCGCAAATTGCATGATAAACATTATTCGTCGTTAGTGCGAAATTGCATCCTGACATGACGATGAAGACAGAAATTTAACCATAATAATAACAATACCAGTGAAAAACATACATATGTATAACAACCAAATGGAATAAAACAACAACTTTCGGACTTTGCCTATCGCCGCCGCTTATGCAGTACTTTTGCTTCTCGATTGTATATAAAAAAAGATCGAGTGACCTTAATTGTTTAACGCGTGTAGCGTAACTTATCTTTATTTAAGCAAGGAATCAGGTTTGCATTGCATTTGCTGCACCAAAGCAGAGAGTTTTTGATATGGACGGAATAATGGAACTACGCTTTTCACTTGATCGCAGTTGATATTGTAATAATAAAATGTAGTACAGTTTTCGTCTTTCAAATGAAATGAAACAATCAACAATTGTAGAACAAATTTCATTTCATTCCTTCGTCCATTTTTTTTTTCTTCTGGACTACATTACATTACATTTCGCATTACATGGTGCGAATTAACTGCGGCGGACGCAACATGTAATGCAGAACTAAAATTGTTAGCGTAATTTTGTTAAATCTCCGTAAAATTGGGGATTTATTTCTCAAACAAATGGGATAATAAAAAGCGTTTGGGAGACCAAAAATAAATGTGTTTCCATTGTAGATAGAAATGTCGTCTGAAGGATCAGATTTGTGTATGAACGTTACGTATGTAAAGGACACACACTGTCCGTGTGTTCAGAAAAGGGAACAGAAAACTAAAGTACACTCGGAAGAGTTAATCCACCGTCACCTCGAACCACGACGACGGCTTTCATTTTATCATCATCATCATCACGGGTACAGAGAGAGAGAAACAGTCGTGAACAGTTTGTTAAGAAACCCTCGCCTGATTTCTGTGGGGATAAGGAAGAAAAGAAAACGTATTCATGAATTCTGTTCTTACTGTGAGTTTTAAAGAAACATTTTGAAACTTGAGCCACCTCCACGTCGTCCACCTTTTACAAGGAGAACTTTGTGTTCAATTTATTTATTATAATGCTTGAATTGGATCGTAAATCGCAGATACAGTTAGTTTGCTTTGCTTTACTTTACTTTACTGCAGTTGTTGTTTTGTTGGAAGGACACGCATTATAATGGAAGACAAGGTTCAAGTTAAAAAGCTACATGGGGACATTCTTTGAGAGTAAGCACAGGGTAAACTTCCGGTTAATTGGAATGAATTTGAATTCAAGTTATACAGGCAATATTTTTTTAGCCATTTTAGTCCAAATTTTTACGAAAGATGAGCAAATGTTTCTTGTAAACGGGGAGGCAAAGAGAGATGAAAGGCAGACGAAGACGACCCTTTATAAGTATAATTTCATTTTATTTACGCTGTCAAAAAAAGAAGAGCCGCTTCCACTACTACTACTTATCCACTTTTTTATAGATATGTACATATACACCTCATACACGAGAGATAGATCTTGAAAAGAGTGAGTTTGTTTACACAGTTATAAAATGTTTATAACTTGACGAGTTTGTAACGTTGATGGAGACTTGAGGAAGGGATATGAGAGAGGAGAAGGAAGGATTATTGGCTATTTGCTATTTAAGATGATGATAACGGGAAAGAAAACACACAACAATTCTGGACCGAGTGATTTTTATCCCAAAGATTCTTGTTCACAGAAAATTTTGAACAAAATTGCTTAATTTCTTGAAAGTTGTGGTTCATTAATTTTTTAAGATGGGTAGTGGTTGTGGTGATGATGATAAAGAGAAGTGGTGTGATGTCTAGACTAAAAGCGGATCCAGTCAGTACCCACACATACACGGCATAACCAACTAAAAGATCTTTTAAGATCTCATGAAATGAAATGCAGCTCTTTTGGAAGGAGGAAGATCATCATCATCATCATGTTATAGGATTAGTTTTTGAACATGCTTTTGAACTGAAACTACTCTCCTGCGGCTACAATGTGACATGCAAGGAACCATATTCTGCCGCATTCAGAATCATCATGATGATGAGATAGATCCGATTTATTCGAAATATTCGAGAGATACATAATACTAATACTCGGATGCTTTTTAATAATACCGGGGAAGCTGCTGTCACACACAAATGAAACTTTTGTAAATACATTTCCAAATTGTTTTTAGAAATTGTGAAATTTAGCCAAGAATATATATATTCGTTCGTGTGGTAGACGTTCATTGTAGGCAGAAAGAAACCATGCAAGAACCACCACTAACTCGTATACCATGCCTACCATTATCCTCCTCTCATAATAATGATTATCTGGCATTACGAAGAAAAGGAAAGCATCTCATCTCATCTCTTGGAGGCGATGAAGACGAAGAAGTAGAAGAAAAAGGGCCCAACCCACCCACCCAACAACATACATACCAAAACCAGGCTTATACAGATTCCTATAAGCGAGTGATGTTATAACCTCTCTCTATACACACACAGTCATAAACCATTCACTTGACGGAGGCAGTAAAGTAAAGGGCTCCAGAAAATGAAATGAAATTTAAAATCTACACACACACACAAAAACCCAAACCAAACCACTGGACGAGAATTGCTTAAACCAAATGCGGATGAACAACAAAGAAGCTGCTGGGAATGGTATGAGAATGAAAGCACAGAAGTAAGTAAGTGGTGGTAGATTGGTGTGCATGTTGAAAAATATGCAGGTTTGATGGGTTTACTTACTGCAAGGTCTTCTTTGTAGAATGGAACAACATAGATCCAACAATTTACGAAAATTTTATGTACTAACAGACAACCAAAACGAATATCATTTCATGACCACTATCGTGACAAAAGGAATATTGGAATTCAACTCTTTCTCTGGTCTGGATATGGACCGATTTGCCTGGTCTAATAAATACATGAGACGATGGGACAATGAGATTATTGTTGTGTCCCAAGAAGATGTAATAAGAGCCAAACCGGATAATAATGATGATGCCGATTATTGGATTGATTATTTAACGAAGGAATCCATGTGCACAAATGGGGGCATTATTATACTACGAAACATATTACATGGTCAACTGGGGTACTACACACGACGTGCATTCGGGTAGTGCGGGTGTAGGAATAGGAACCCTTGAAACTCATCTCACTTATTTTATGACCCTCCAACAACAACTTAAACATCATGACATGACTCATTCACTTTGGAAAAAGGACTCCTCCACACAAAACTCTTAATAAATAAAGTGTCATGATTTTCCTCTCAAGTACCCAGCCAAATCTTGCTATAAGTTGGTGCATTCTATGTAATCTGGAAGCCAGTAAGTGCAAGTATGTAACTAGAGACTTCTCCTCCTCTCCCGGAAATGTGGGAGAATAGTAAAGAAAAGAACAAGAAACGTCGTCGTCGTCCTCCTCGTCGTCGTCATCATCTCTTTAAAAAGATATTACTTATTGAGTAACCCCAAGTAAAATGTATACGAACGTATGTGCGGCGTGATGTGGCCTGGAAAAAGGGTCTACTTTTTTTTCAAGAGCAACCAGAACCCAGGATAATAATACCGACCAACTAGTTAGTCAAATAGAGGGATGAATACATATAAAATTCGACCTACCTTTCGGCCAACATTCAAACACATGCTGAGCAATGTCTCCGGCAGAATCGCTGGGGCTGAAGAGGAATTCTTTGGTCTTTCCACTGACCAAGATTAGTCGGAGATTTATCTGTAAGAGGAGAAAAATCCAATTATTATTATTACTCCGCAATATACATATTTCTCAGGCATACATCATTTTACGAGAGAAACAATGCTTCAAAAAGAACAAGATATAACAACGAGAGAGGGTCATAATTTTTGTACAAAGAATTGCAATAATAATTCATAATATCTATCTGCTGTCAGTTCGGTGGGGGAGAGAGGAAAAATTGCTCATTTCTACTACGCACACTCTCTCTGGATCCGAATCATTATGACAGGAATCTTCTTGTCTTTAAGGGTAAATAAAGTGTGAGAACTTGAAATGGAGCAGTTTTTCCAATGGGAATAGTTTGCCGGGCTGGATTAAGATAAACAACAGTACGGGCAAAACTAACGAAGCCATATAGTTTCCAGCTCATGCATGAGTTTAGTACAACATAGTTGAAATCTGAGATGCAACCATGGGGGACATACATGATGGCATAACTAACTAACTAACTCTAGTGAACTTTCGAATCTTGTAAGCCCAAGTGTTTACCGAGGGTAACTCACAAACGTGTCATTCATGGCATGTCATTTTCTTCCCGTCCTGCCTGAAATGATGCACCATATACACACGAAAATATCTTAATACTGGTGAAATCCTACTTTTAGTCGCGTTGTAAATCATGACATGACAGCAAGAATATTATGATGGAAGAAGGGTGTTAAGACGGGAATGAAACATTTGCAGGCGCAGTGTCCATGTCGATGATATTATCATTCCCACCATCACTAGGACTATCTAACATGGATTGCAATATGCAATAATAGGGGCGGCATTGTTACCTGCTCTACTTTTTTGGACCGCCTTACTTAATCTGAATAAGTACTTTTGCTAGTTTTTGCAAATATTACCGCACCACAGCTTATCATGCCGAGATAAGAGAAAGTCATCACATTATCTCCAGAGTGCATTGTGCTATTTATGCCTTCTCTGTGCATGTCCATTGTCCATTGTCCATCATTCATATGTGCCACATACGTACGTACTTTCTCTACCTCTATGATTATTTCTTCCTGCTCCGACAACAATAATTTTTTGTTCCCTCTAATTAAATATTTATTCATTAAGCATTATAAAGTACATGAGAAAAGTGTACAACAACTTTTCGTGTCGCAAATCATGATGACGGTAAATAGTCGAGCAGTATACGGTCGATGACAACTTGAAAAAAGGGACGCAACCTACTTATGTATGTGTGCTTTTACTCGGTCACAACTAACTAACTGCTGACTGGACTGACCTACCTAATCCTAATAAAGCCTATTAAATAAATGCGTGTCGTACATGGAAATGGATGTCGTTCATATGTATGAAAAGGAGGATGTCGTGAGAGTGAGTGACATACATACATATGGGTGGATTGGATGGAAAATATAAGAAGGAACTATTTAGTCAGCATGTTATATATCCACCCAATCTACCGACCAATCTACTTTTACACAAAAAAAGTTTGATGACGATACAATGACATCAGAAGATATCGATTATATATTGATTCGTAATCGAGTGAGTACAGCATAAATGAAAAATGAAATGAGAATATATTAAATGGATAGAAGTCAATTTTTCCTTATCTCTACATATACATTTATGTTCATCAATATTATAACAGGGTTACGGTAACTATGCCAAATCAAACAAGAAAAAAAGCAATGTCAAGTAAAAGTTGTTAGTGGTTTTAGAACAAAAAAAGCTATTCAAGAAAATTTACTACTTTTCCATCAGTTTTGTAATTAAAGTAGAATAGTTTGGGAAAATATTTTTTGTTTAAAAAATCATATCGGAATCGTATATATGTATACCTAACAGCTAAATGATATCGGGAAAGTTAAGTGTTCTTTTCTAAACCATTTTAACTCGGATAATGTCACGAGGGCGACCTCATTAAACGTTAAAGATTGCAGTTAAACACTATAATCGCCATAAAATGGTATGAACGACATTATTACTTTTTAAATGACTCATATTCTTTCTTTCTCAAAACAGCATAACTGCTGGTAACTACTCAAAGAATAAATAAATGTATAACACATGTAGCTGCAACACTGAGTATGCATGCACAAACCAGAAAGAAACCACCATGAAATTCAAGTACGCAATAATAATAATAATGTCAACTTTAGCTAAAGAACTAACATGATCCAATAATAATACTGCATCTAGTTTGAGACGTAGTTAAACAATCATAAAAAAGGAGGAGTACTACATAATGTAATGTAATGTGTGTTGTGTGGGATTAAACTAAAGTAAACCTAACCTAGTCCAGTCCAACAAAGATATCGTTATTATTAAATACATATAGATAATCGAGTATGGTGGTGATGGTGCAAATTACAACAGGATTTTACAAGCTGCTGCTGCTGAGCTACATATGGTATCGAGCTCGAGATGATGATGATGATGGTGTCATGTCCTTCTTAAATGTTATTGAATCGTTACTTAGTTTGCCATTTTTTTCCTGCTCATGCTGCAAATTCGTACTCCATCAAGAACATGATCCGGCTCAAGTATCTCCATAATATTGGTACGAGATAGTGAGAGACAAAGAAAGACTTGTCACTGCCACCCTTTTAATTTGGACATATTAATTTCGTGTAGGTAGACTTATTCTGAGCTTAGAACAAATAGTTTAAATGCTTCCTGGTCTTATTTTTTGTCCATATTTGTCGTTGTCACTTTATCATCGTTGAATTATTAATGTAAAGTGAGGCGCGAGGTTATCTATCTTTACCCAGGATGAATTAGACAACATTGACCAGCATGGTCATTAAATGATGTATATCTTATTACATAATGACGTTCAATTTCGTCACCTTTTTTATATCATTGTTTTCCAGCCAGAAACTTTTAAAAAATATTTTTTTTAATATAGAAAAAATAGAATAATTTTATTTACCTTATCATTAGGAATGTTTTTGTTCGATCCCATTTTTCTCTTCGGTTTTTGCGCAATTTTCTGTTATCGGAAAAATCCAAGTACTCTCTCGTTGAAGTTGAAACGTTTATTTCTATAAAATTGGCACTTTTTCTTTCTTCGAGACTAGCAGTCAATTAAAAATTATTTATCAAGATGGATGACAACGCTACCCAACTCGATCAGCAGGCAGGCAGGTGAAGATTTGCCAAATCACTTTGCAATATTGTTTTCTCTCCTAAAAACCAATCTTCTCCTTGGAGAGTATTCAACTATTTTTTATTGTCGACTTAAAAATTCCTACTTTCTCTCCAAAGTCTAAAAACCTTCCGAGCAGAATAAAACTAAAATTGAATCACTCTATTCCAAAACTGCAGCAGAGTTGAATAATAATGGATAAATGTTAACGTTGGCAGCAATATCGTTGATGCTCTTGTACTGCGAACCAAATTGGATTCGTGCTACCATTTCCTGTTAAGTTTACTTACTAGTTAATCCCTTTGTGTGGATTACTTTATTTAATGTTGATGGTATGGCTGGCTGGTAGTGGTATTTAGTTCGTGGTAGGCTGAATAGAATAATAATATTTTATACCAACAACGATATAGCAGCCCTGCTTCTCTGCTCTGCTTTTCGTTGTTGTTATGAGAGATAGACAGGTTGGTTATAGCTTTTAGTTTCGCAGTGTTGTATTTTATTTGGGCTAATCTATTTTATTTCACTGTATAATTTAGTTGGATTCTATGACTGGGTAAATTAATAATTGCAAACGAGATGACGAAATGATGAATTATATATTTGCGTGGAAAAAGTTTCGTATGAGTTGAGGGTCGCTGGGTATTTATTTATTCTTCAATGTTTAATCGAAATCCCGATGGAAATTAGTTATTCCTTCTTGATCCACTTCTCGATAAAACTTATTACTTGGGTTGGACTTTATACTGTTACTGTTTTCCACAAAACCAGAATCACAGACGACTTCAGGGTCAGGGTGGAATTTTAATCGATCCTCCAGCCTCTGATTTAAAAACCAAGTCTTTGGTGGTGGCACGAAAAGTCAGATTTTCTTTGTGAAGGAACCTGTCCACACTCCTCCCCCAGAAGAGAAAAGTTCTCTATCTTGGCGACTTTTTTTCCCGTGATTTTGTAGGTTTTTGAAAAAAGTCGTCCCTTTGTTGGGCTAGGGAGACGACGAGGCCGACGACAAGCAGTGTGAGTGAGTGTTGGTGGATGTGATGTGAGTGATCCTTGGTTGGTTCGTGTGGGGAATTGTTGGTTGGAAGGTCTTTCGTCGTCGTCTTTCTTCTTTCTTGCGCTTTACAACCTCACCAAGTCGAGACTGGGGAAGCACACAGGCGTTCCATTAAACAGAGGAGAGAGAAATTCCTCATTCGTATCTAGTTATATGCACCGTACCGTAATAATTCCTCTCCTTCCTACTGAGCATACGCAGAGAGGTTGTGCTTCGAAAATGGGAAATGAAATTTTGAAAAATTTTAAAAGAAAATGGAAATTTTGGTCATTGAAATCATCATGTTTGACCCTCTGTCGTTATGAAGAGGTGATCACCAGTGATTACTCTTAACCATATTTGTAAAGAGAGACCCTCTCTGGCCCTCCGTAGTCTATGCAGGACCGTATGCATACCCCACACAATGACTTCTGGGGGACACCTAGAAGTATGTTCCGAGCTATTTTATCTACAAATTGAGTCATTTCGGCGAGAAATTTTTTACCAGAATATTCACTTTGATGGGGGAGGAGGGCAAAAAATGGGGAAATTTGCGCATCTCCCCATCACACAAAAAGGTAGGGGGTCCACAATAGAAATACATGTGCGAGCATAGGGAGATACATAGAAGATACATTTATTTGTTACATGAGCAGAGCTTTTGGATGCAGAAATAAATGCATTTGGCCGTGATTGAGAAACCCAACAGAGTTTGATGGAGGAGTAGGAGAGGATTATTAAAGCACTGCGCTTTACTTGTTTTATTATGGCGAATGTTACTTGCTGGGTTAAAAACTTACTTATTATTGTGGCGAACGGATTTTACTTCTTACTAAAGATTAGGTAAGGACGACGATGATGATGACATGTGTGTACGGACTACTTGCATGCATGCAAAGTTAACCTGTTTTATAAATGAAATCAGGCTAAATATTAAATGCAGTATGGTAAGAAAAAATAAAGTGCAGTCACTAGTCGGTCGGTGCAAGGAGACTAGATGCATGCATTTATTATAATAATTATGTAGACTTTAAGATGCACTACCATCTGCTTAACTACATATTTGCATAAAGTGCATATGTACATATGACACGGAAAAAATTAATATGCACGACGGACGTATGTATAACTCGGATATTAGAATAGTAACGAAAATCCATAATTTATTGTCATTGTTCGTATTCGTCATAAAATCAAGAGTGGAACAAACAATTCATTTCTACAACAAGTCACTCTATTGAATCAGAATATCTACCTTTTACTTAAAATAATATGCGAAATCGCCCATGTCCTTCATGTCGCAGGTATCCAATTCGTCGGTCTCCGTGTCGCTCATCTCCGAAGTCTTCCAGTCCTCGTCTTCCCAAGTCGCCTCGCTCATGTCCAAGGAGGACGACGTGTCCGACGTGTCACTGCCGAAAAGGGAATTATTGTAGTTGAGAAGGTAACCTTGATTCGCCACAGGGTCGGGACATGGCGCCGGTACGACGTTAAGCAAACTTCCTCCGTGCAAGGTGCGCACCTTTTGGACATTCTCATTCCTCCAGGCTTTCCGCTCCGACTTGTTGAGGCCCATGGGATATCTGCATATGAAGAAATGAAGGAGTTATTAATTGATGACAGGGTGATGGTGAGGTTTCATTAGTTAATATATTCAACTTACTTGAGCGATAACCCATTTTCAAACCTGGTTGCGAGGTTGAACGGGGTGACGGGGGGTTCAAATTCCCAGGCGTAGTCTCTCTGATCTTGGCCCTTTTCGTCATAAGCTCTCGCCCTCACCCTTTCCTGACGCTCCTTCTGCGTGCTGGAGATCCGGGTTGATATGGAACTGCACCTACTTCCGGTGAGTGTGGAGTAATTACTTGAGCAAATGGAACCCATATCCCCCAATAACTGGGATTTCTTCAAAGCACCATTGCTCTTATCGCCTAGCACAGACGGCCCGGAGGAAATCGTCGTTTTGAAGGCGGCGTCAATATCCACGACGTTCAAAACATTGCAGACACCGCTAGAAACATGATACAATAATTAATAATTAAGGGTTCGTTAATTGCAGTATAAAAATACAATAACGAAACTCACTCTCCAGTCTTTGCCTTGACCACGATCGATTTCCCAGTTGGGAATGACTTCAGAGAGCGTGTGATGGGGGCAAAGAGCTCCCTCTTCTTAATCGTCTTCGCCCACGCTGGGATCAGGTCATTCGTGGAAGCTTTCGATGATCGACTATTGGAGTCCTTCGAGGCTACCGATGGTGGCCATATAGCGGAAGATGCTTCGCTCTGATTTTCATCCGGGCAGGCTGCGGCGGGTGACAAGGTTTCCAAATCCTCACGGGGGACGCCACGACTTCGGTATATTACGGACGAAAACTGTCGCAAGTGCGAGGGCAGCGGTGCAGGATACGCTAAAAGTTTGACATAATTTTTATCATTTTCCTATATTATGCAAATTGTAGATTGGATAAAGTATTCGTATTTGGCTGGCTAATTGAATTGTGCGACTTACAATTAGAAAATTCCATGATGTGTGTAATCACTGAATACCGGTCAGGACAGACTCGCTCGTGATGGAATAATTCCGGCAGCGGAACGTGATGTCCCCAGTTGAATTTGCAAGCCACAATTTGCAGCGCCTCGCCACTATCTCGCATCTTGTTTTCGTAATTGTGACGACATTTTTTAAGATGGATAGCCAATCGAAGATTCCTGGAAAATAAAAAAAATAGGCAGAAATATAATCAATTAGCATTAAAACTGTCCTATCCCGTTTCAGACTTGCATAAAACCTTTTTATTTTGTGTATGTATTTCATGCGTGTATAAATTGCACAAGTAATCCAAGGACAAAATTGTCCATCGTAAAATGCAAAATAAAATGAAACTTACGTGACTTGATGCGACATGTCGTACGGACAAACAATTAGTTGTTCTCCAGGGGCGAGTTTGAATTTGGAATTGGATTGTTCAGGCTTTGAATTACTAATTGAAGTGGTGGGAAGTCGTTCCATTTTTCCTCCTTGGGAGCTGCCCCTCGTCGAAAATTAAGACTGGGAAATGCAAGTTGACACAATTTCAGGAAAGCACCAAGTGATCAAACTGTGCGTGCAGAGGGCTCGAGCTCTGAACTGAGAATGAGCTAGGGATTGTTGAAGGGAATCTTCTTCCCTTGAGGATCTGGGCGTCTTTTTGGTAGCGTGGCTTGGCCTGTTTAAGGATAAGACTCCCTCCAATATCTGAGACATTGGAGTTTTGAGTGATAAGACTTTAGTTCTAAAAATACACTAAATACTCCAAAATGTCCAGACTAATACAGCGTCGCTCTTTTCCTTTGTTATTCTCCTCTCACTCGAATCCATTTTGCATGCACATGCTGCATCTGCACATGCAAATTTTATATTTGCATTCTTCTTTTATCATCATCTTCATAGTCTGTTGACTAATACAATTTGAACACTGGTGAAGAGATGAACATTAAGTACTGCAAAAATCAGCTATAAGAAACAGATATAAGAAAGTAAAGGTAAAACTGTACACACACTTGATAGCAAACTCAATATTTGATCTTTGACCATACATTATTCCTTGGGTCATGGGGATGTCACTGATCTTAAGTTTGTGACCTACGCCTTCATCTCATACATGTGAAACCGATTTGGTTAACTCATACGTAAACAAGAGTTAAAAATGGTGTGCATTCAGGTGGCGGACGGACAAACGAATAATGAAGTAGCTTCTACTGCATAATAATGCTAATGATCACAATCTTCAAGGATAACTAGCAAGGAGAGATGATCAAAAAGCGCATAACGAATACCTAATTGCTCTCATCACACGTACCCAAAATGCTATATTATGCCAAGTTATTTTTAAGATGGTCATTCACAACAACAGCATCGCAGCGTACATACGTAGCATTGATCTCATCTTCACTCTTGGCTCAACTCCTTCAGAAAGTAAAAGTGAATTAGAAGTGGCAAAATTATCTCATTTTTTCATAATGCAATCTTGTTTTCAAACTCGTAATTCTTTCACGCTTTCAATACTCTTGGCGTGCATTGTATTTTCACTCTTCCCGATTCCAACGACGTCCATGAACAAGAAACCACCTCCAGAAATTAAAGAATATCCCGGATTTGGGCGAGAGTGTAGTCAAAGTTCCGACTGTAAATTTTCTCCCGGCGGGGTAGGAAATGGGACCATTTACTTTGCTTGTAAAAAGAGCGAAAAGTTACCACAATCGTACTGCTTTTGTGGCACGGGTACCAAAAATACAATTTTAAAGCTAGCATTTTAGTTAGATTTACTTGAAAGTGCATTTTATTTCTCCAGGTTCACCACCTGACGACGAGCTAATGTTTCCTCTCGAATGGGATCGAGATGCTGAGCGATGTCTGGTGGGGAAAGGTGCCCCCTGTGGAACGGATGAGGGGCTCAGTGTGTCATGTCGTGGAAAAGGTGAGGATTGCGTTCAAGGTCGATGCCGACAACCGGAAGAACTTCACACCGTCGACGTCTCAAAGTTTTGCAATGATGACTTTGATTGTAAGAATGGCTTAGAATGCAAAGAAAGCGTCACCCCGGCGGTGGTTCGGATTAAGAGGTGTTATCATATTCAGAAAAAGTAAGGAGACTCAGTTTCATTTTTTGGTAAAAGGGTGCAAGTTTTTTTTATTATTCAGAAATTTATGCTAAATAAATTACAGTTTTTACTCAAATTATTACATAATAAAGTTGTACAAGTACTAAAAGTTTGTAAAATGCAAATTATATCATATTCCACTCGAACATATAGCGTGGCTCGCTACATTTATTTCTATAGGTTAAAATCCATCTTAAATAAGTCACTCGACATAAGGCGGATAAATAATAACAATAATAAGAACAATACAAAAAGGATTTTTTTGCACACCGAGTTGGTTCAAGTGTCGTTAGTATCGTCCTGCACTGGTGGGTACCGTGGAATAACGCGTGCTTTTCCCGTACCCGTCGGGATCCTCATCGTCCCGTATCCGTTTCCAGTACACGAATGTCAGACAGACCAGAATTATCTGGAGAATTAGATTGGAATTAAAAATACAATTTTGAAATTATGAGGTAATCAAATATGTGCGTACCTGAATAAATCCGATAAACAACGCAATTCCAGCAATCCATCCAGTCCTTTTTTCAATAAAGTACGAAAACTTTTTGACGCAGCCATCCTGATACACATTTCCGCTAACTTTGTCCCTACAACTGTCTGGAATTGCGAGCCTACTGCGGTCAAAATCTTGGTAGTTGTAAGATCCGCAGCAACCCACCTGAATTACGATAAATGAATTAAGACTGAGGATTACACTTGGAAAAAAAGTATTGTTATCGTGTAATTACATTTTCCTGGACCACGTTAAGGAGATCGTTGGCCTTATCGTTGTAATTGGAGTCGCGGATTAGAACGACAAATCTCTTATCCAGCCATGGCGTTAGTTTAGAGTTGTGCGTGCCATTAACCAAAATGAAAATTCCACCAGCCAGCTCAAGAACTAAGGCGAGCAGGACGAACACGGCCGACTGGGAAGAACAACCAAAAATAACGACACACATTGAAAAAAATTGTCTTCCAAATTTTCAGTTTCCTTAAATAAACACTATCTAAAAAATACTCTGCGTCTACTTTGCGTCTCCACATGGCCCAGGAAAGTGCATTATTATTGGCACTCCTTTTCTGCATAGTGGAGACTTACACGATAATAGAGAAAAATTAGAAATTCATCCGCAGCATGATTTTTCTTGTTAATCAAATATTTCATATTTTCATCCAACTCTTCCTTGTTCACCGTGTAGCGGGTGTAGTTCGCGAGTAGGATTGTGGACCCGAAAATAATCAGGACGAACGCGATCGACGTTAAGCTCACACTCTTAAAATTACATGTGCATTTACACTCGATATTAACTTTCAACCTTATGAATTTACTATTATTATCATTTCTAATTTTCAAGTTTTTTTTCTCAGTACCGTTAACAAGAGGTTCGGATTGGCCGTGAGGGCACCTGCGCATCCACAAATGGAGATGATGATGATCACAGCGGCCGCAGCCATGAGGATGTACAACCCCGTCCAGTATTGAGTCATGCCCAAATCACCCACCCAAGTTCGGACTTGGCCTTCAAATCGAAACCAAAATCCAAGGATGAATACGAGCAGGCCTAAAATCTGCACAAATACGAGAAATCCTTTAGCAAAATCCGATAATCACTAATTCCCAGTTTTGTCACGTACCCCACAAAACACGTTTAAAATCAGGACAGAAAATGTGATACAATGATCCGACATTTCTCCTCCACGTCCCTTGCCGGCCCCCATTTTGTGTAGTCACGTTCCTAAATTGTGCACTGCAATTGAACTTGAGAATTAATTTGGCAAAATTATTTCGAAAAACCGAAATCTGGGACAATATGGCCACCACGAAAATAACCCGGTCGTTCGTTGGTCGGGACTCGTTCAACAATAACTGAGAATATTAATGGCGTGCTGTTTTGGGCGTGTTCTGCAGTGTATGAAATAGGCCAGAGGACAGAGAATTGGTTTCTTTTTTACTTAAGCTTAGTAGTAGATTCAGTTACCGAGTGAGATAAGTGATGAACGTTAGAGTATATTGCACATTCATTAATGAGAACGGGGTGAGATAAGCGGCAGATAAGATAATAAATTTGTTTGGATGGATTTTGATTGGGTGGATGCAAAAAAATTAGGAATCGATGAGTAATGCCAAGTAACAATAATATGTTGCAGGCAGTAAAATCCATATGCAGACCGTATTTTGCACGGGAAGAAGAGAATAACATGAAAAAATATAAGCTTGTCTTATCATCGCTCGTTCAATGTTTGTCTAAACATTACACATAGAGGAAAGTGGCAAAGTTTTGAATGTGTAAGAGCACCAAACACCTCATCGCCATTATTTTATTCATCCTTTATTTGGGTTAAGTCATCTCCTCTTTCCGTTAAAAAAATTCAACCGAGCTCCAACTCTAATATTCCAGAGAGTGACGAGGGATGATGTTGATTAGATAGCGACTCAACGACTGAATAATTGTACATACATAATTCGTGGTCAATAACAAAATGACGAGAATTTGTACGAGGAGTCAAGTGTGTAATAAGTGCGAGTGAGATTACACGCGACGATGAACGATGACTTCATTACGGACATATTTCCGAGATTATGTATGCTGATTGATGGTGATGATGATGAGAATGACGATCGGATGTTTTAGTCGAGTGTCACTTCCGCTTAAATTTATCCTTATTACGGATGACTCGATTGTGTTCGTGATGTGGTAAAAATAAGCAAGTGGCAATGACACTGGGTTTATGGAAACGTTTAAGGACGAAGTTCAACAAGTCGTTATGTAAATTATGTTTAAAAATTCTTGATTTTTATTTCTACTAAAACTATCTACTTATGTTTCATTCACACAATTTCTCACAATATAAGCTTTTCGCTTGCACAATTTCAACTCAGATGAGACCAATTTTATTTTCTCGAAACAAAAAATTAAGTTGACCGATGCTTTTTTCTAACTTTGACAACATGCCGTAATTTTCAAAATGTTTTCCAAACAAAACCGTAGATTTTCAAAATACATTAAGTTTTAGAATTTTGATGCGATTTAAGAAATTTTGAAACTTTCAATCATGGAATTGGCTGATAAATTTTTATACATGCATTTTCAGAGAAGTTTTGAAAACTTTAAATTTTTCTTGATTCTGTAGATTTCCGAAAAATTAAAAAAAATCGAAAGTACATCTTAAAAAATCAAGCTAGTAATTCTAAGAATAAGGTTTCAAATTTTTTTAATCGCACTAAAATTCTAAAGTGACAAGAATCTGAAAACCTACGGGTCTGAAAAATATTCTGAGAACTCCGTCAAGTTTGTGCATTAGGAAAATAACTAGTCTCCTTATTCTTTGTTGAAAAAAAATAAAATTGGCCCTATTGAAAATTGAATTTGAAATACTTCAATTTCATCATACATCTTTTTAAACGTATTTACAGATCTATCATTCACATGACACCTGGAACTCATGGAATTGTAACAAACCACATTTACTTCTAGGATAAATGGAAAAACGGTAATTAGTAAGTGATGATACAGAAAAACTAAAGTACACACTCCGGTAAAACGTCTCTGTGTGTCTTCTCTAATTACGAAAAAGATAAGCTATGCAAACATACACAATAGTAACTCTTATTGTAATTCGGTAAGTATAAGTAAAACTAAGTACACAAAAATACTAGGATAAATGCTACAGGGTTTCTTGTATGTATATTTTGTAGTAGTAAATACAATGATGAGTTTCAGTTCGTTCTTTCGTCGTCTTCAAAAAGCGGCAGTTGCGCATCTGTATGTACCTTATCATCTAGCAAGTAACAGGAAATACGAAAAAACGGAGTACACGAGTATTTAGAGAAGAAACCAAGAAATAATACTTTTAAATTGCATTGAACTCTGCATTCTGCTGAATACGAAGAGTTGTTTAGAATATTTCAGGAAAGAAAAACTACATACTGTTCTAGTATTTTTTTCGAAACTTTAGTCCAAAACTATTTACAAAAAGGGTTTCCTAAAACAGATCTAACCTTACAATTACGACGAAAGTAGTAGATATATCATTGTACATTTGGGCATTTACTTTGTTTGATGATGATGATTGTGCAGGAGCGAGCGATCTAAATTTATCAGGAAAATTACGGTACGGTAACAATATGGCATTTAATAAAATGTGTGGCGACGACGACGACTTATAAATTATTAAACGTTGGATTTTCACTCCTTCAGCCCACGTACGCCAACGGGAAGGGCAACCCATTCAGGAATGGGTTGTTCTGAATAATGGCTTGCGTTGGTTTCACGGGGAGAGAGGCCGTGACATAACTGGTCATTCGGGTGGGGACCACTCTCGTCGAGTAGAGCACCGTATGCGTCGGCTTGGCCCCGAAGAGCAGGCGGAGCGTTTTGGTTTCCGTCACGGTCGCCAAAGTGTCGACCACGACGGGGGACGAAGTCAGCGAGTACCCGTTCGCCACTGCCTGTTGAGCTTGTATAAGCGGAGAAGGCGCGGATGGTGGGAGGAGGGGGGCTTGTTGTTGTTGCTGCTGTTGGAATGGGTTAAATTGTGGTTGCTGTTGTAGTTGGGGGAATGCTTGTGGTTGTGGTGATTGTTGTTGATTCTGTGCCGTAAAGTAGCGGATGAAGGCTAACTGTTCAGGGGTAAGGCCGGCAATGGAGGCGAGTGGGTCTTGCGGAATGGAGTTGAAGTTGGGAGGAGATTGGTTGAGGAAGGGGTTGTTATTTGGGGAAGAGGAAACAATTTCAGAGCTGGATTTTCCACCACGTGGTGAGAATTCTTTGGAAGACTTGGGGGGTCGTTTTGGCAGCTTTTCGTCCATGGAGGATGGGTCAAAGTCAGATCCGACGGAGGTTAGTTCCTGAAATATTTTAATTTTAATTTCTTGGAAATTTCATAAAATTTCTTAAACAAATGTTACGTCTGGTGGCGCAATGATGTGTTCGTAGTTGGTGTCATTCTCATCTTCAGACTCGGACCCTAAGAGATGCTCGCGGTGTTCGGAACCAGCCTCTTGAAGTGCAGTGTTGAACTCATTGAGTGATTTGGTCGGGACGAATTGAAACAGTTCGACGGGTGGGACGGTTTTGTGTGCCGTGACAAGTCGGGTGATGAAGTAGGATTGTGTTAAGGTGTACAGAGTGGTCACACCGTCATAGAGAACTGGCAAAATGCTAGTTTTCAACATGAGCTGGACAGAAAATAAGTAGTAAATAAATTATGGCATAAATTTCTGAAAACATTATCCGTGAGACAAGAATATGTAAATAAACCTGTGTGGTGCTAAAGCTTTGTGTAATAGTTTCCAATGGTGGGGTCGCCATATCTCCTCCGAGAGCAATAACTGGCAAGGTCGCAACGTCGCTGGAGCCCTCCAAGATTTTTTCATATGGTGGTTTCGTTGCCAGAATATTTTCCAGACTTGCTTCAGCCTGTGAAGAGGCCAGTGTGGGTTGGATCACTTCCTTCGTAAAGGTCTTTGTCACCGTGATGTACCTTAATTCAAAAAGCGGTACAGGAAATGTGCCAACAGTGACTTATAAGACGCGTATTATAAAACGAACCTTGTGTTCTTCACGTTTCCAGCCTGGAAGACGTATGGGGATCGAATCGTGGCAATTTCGAGGAATTTCTCCAAATCGGAAAAGTCTGTCGGGGTCACGGTATTGACTCGAATGGTTTGTGGGACGAGTTCTGGTTCCAATTCTTGGACCAATTCGTTAGATTCTGTTCTCGTTTCTTCCGGGGTTTGAAGTTCACCTTGTTGTTCAGAGTATGATTGACTGTTGTGGTAGATTGGACCGGGTGAGGCGGCTTGGTCACCACCCTCGTCGTTTTCTTGCTGATCGTCACCTTCCTTAGTTTTGATAATGTTGACCTAAGAAAAACGGGATGGATAAAAATATTTTGGACACAATTATTTGTATTAAGATTTTTTTAAATATTTACCTTTGGCTTTGGAGACGGCTTGAACCTCCACCTTCCCGTGGGTCGATTAAGTTTGAATCGATAAATTGACGTCGAGCTGGTCGGATTCACTTGTTGATTTTGCTGTTGTTGCTGTCCACCTCGAGACGACGGAGTGAAACCACGTCCACTTTTATAAGAAGAAAAGTCCTTGCTCCTTCCCGAGGATTGTGCTGGGGGTGGTGGAGCTGGGGTAACGACGGTGGCAGAAGATCGACCAGACTTGAAACGTCTCGTTGGTGTGGCAGAAACTACAACGGTGGACACGGCGACGTCTTCAACATTTTTACCACCGGACGAGGAACGGCCACGATTTCGTCCAAAGCGAGATCGAGAACGGGACGAGTCTGAGGAGTCGGGTTGCGCAGGAACTGCAACGACTTCTTGGTGGGTCAATTCGTTAGAGTCAGAGCCACCCTGGTTTCTGAAAATGGTGACAATTTTTTAAAGTTTTTTCTTACTTTCAAATATTTATAGATAATTTATTTATTTACGAACTTGGCATTTCTTGGGTTGAATCGATTGCTCGTCAATCTAAACTGTTTTCCTCTCGTTGGCGTGGCAGTTACGACCGCGACGCCACCGTCACCTGCAGATTTTGCTGGGTTGATGTCCACATAGAGTCCGGGCCCTCGAGAGTACGCATTTGGACTTGGGACTGGGGACACGTAAATCTTCTCTGCCTTTTGGGGGAGGATGTAATGCGTCTGCTCTTCAGAAGCGGTCGGGGTCGGCTCAAGGTGAAGGACGGGTGTGGCCGTGGTTGAAGTTGACTGTTTACTGGTCTGCTCCTCCTCTCCTTGAACGTGGGCGACGGAATCCTGGTCGTCTTGGTCGGGTTGAGGTTGTTCTTCGGCTATTATGTCAGAGTTATAAGTTACAATTTGTACAAGCATAATAATTGCAATTACGAGTAGGATTATTTATTGGAATTTCTAATCTGTATACGTGTATCTAAATACTCTACTCTACTCTAGGATCTACTTACTATCTTGATCATCTTGCTCAAATTCATCGTCCTGGTCGGGGGTGTGGGGAGTGCTAGTGGTGGTCGTGGTGGTTGATACCTTTTGTTGTGCAAGTGCCGTGGGTTTGACAAGGGACGGAAATTGGAACGCTTTAGTTGGTTGGGGTGCAACAATGGGCAAAACGCTAGAAGTGGTTTCCAACAGTCTGACGTATTGGGTTCCGATATACGTGCCAATGATTGCCGTTTCCAGCACCGTGGTTGCTCCAGCCTTGTCCACTTTGGTCTCATAAATTTTGTTCAAAAGTCCGGTCGGCTGAAGGGCTACAGAGGTCGAGGAGACTACTACGGGTGGTGGCGTGTCTACTTTTTGCGCCGTGACGACAACAGGGACAGAGAAAGCGGGGGTGATAATTACGGGGGAATTGTGCTTGGGAGTGAGCTTAAGGGTGAAACCGTGCTTATTGGATTTACTTTGTGGTTTTGGCGTTGTGCTGGTAGTGGTCGTTGGAGGTGTTGTTGTTGTCGTCGTCGTCGTGGTCGTTGTGGATGGATTTTCCGCAGCCACTTGGGGTGCATCGTCCTCTTCCTGTTCTTGCTGTTCTTGTTCCCCGGAGGAAGGAAAGTCTCCGCCTTCGATGAACTCACCAGAGCCCAAATTGGGAGCAGAGGCGACAACATTTACCTGGGTTCGGATCTGGAACAACATTTTATAAAGCCGTATTCAACTGACTGCACCAATTACAAAATAATTATCTGAATTTCACCTCTGGTTCCACCACTGGAACGGGAGTAGCAACCACAGCTGGAGCCTTGATTGGTTTCACCTCTTGTCGACCCACGACGGTATTAAACGCTTCCAACGGTGGAGCTTGTACGGCTGTGACTTCCTGCTCCAACTCGACCTCAGATGCCTCAATCGTTGGAGCTTCAGGAAGAAATTGTTTGGGTTGACGTTTCTGTTGGGCGGTTGGTTTTCCGGTGGTGGAGACATTTTCCTCCTCCTCTTGGGCTGGTGGTGGCAAGGTCGGAGTGGGGGTCGCCTTCACGACAGATGCCACGCTGGATGCGAGTGTTGGCTTCACTTCAACATTAACAGCTTCAACTAATTGAAATACAGACAAAATGTGATTGTTGAATTTTTAAGTTTTTTTCAAAATTTTCAAAATGTCAAACCCTTTTTCGTTTGTGGAGTGAAGACCATGACCGTGTTCCCGATTGTGGTGACGAAATCGAGGAAGCCATACACCGTTTGGGTGATCCGTTCAATGTCATCGGCATCCTCGGCGGGTTTCGAGGCTTGTGGGGTTGTATTTTCCTTTAGGAGAAGTTGGGAGGGCAGCTTTAAAGCGAGACGAGGTTTTGGCGATGGTTTGCTGTACACGGGTCGATTTTGGATGTACGATCGTGCATCAGGGAGGGGGTCGGATTTTACGGCATTGTCACCTACACGGAGGAACGAGAAATTTTAATTTTTGTGAGTTTAAAAATAAACATGGATAATTTGTGCGCAAGTCCGGTGCATATTTCAAATCTGGTCAGAAATTAAGAAATGTATCAATTTTGATTTTATTTCTTTACGTCTGGTTTTTCGTTATATTTACAAATTCCAGTTACCATTGTTTAAAACTATGTAAAGTGTCATCAATAATAATAACTAATTGCAGGTGCCATATCGTCGTGACATTTTGACCAGTGCGTGGCAGCGGCACTACGTCTGCAAGTTAAATTAAACTTAGTTTTTCAAAGTTGTCGCTGGAACTCAATTAAGTAGAATTCGTGTGCTTTGATTAATTAGTTCCATTCATTTGCATAATTTATATTAATTTCGAGAATGCTCAACTCTTCCTCTCGACCATCTACAATTCGAAATGCTGCACAATTCTACCCACATTAAGCAAGGAATTACTTACAAGGCGCACTACTGCCTACTTAACCCACTACTAATTGCCACCACCCAAGCCACCACGTCGAACGTCTTCTTCTTCCGCTTAAATCTTGGCTCAAGATCTCCCATCATGAACCCACCCACCGCACCACAAACTTTCCATTTTACTACACATGCTGCACGCTGATTATTTTATGGTCTGCAATTATCCACCTCCGCCACCACCACCACCAATTAATTAGGGGACACAACCTGCCAAAGATTTTATCACGGTTTATGAGATTTTCAAAATTAAATGCGAGTAATTAGTCCTACAAATGACTGCTCTCCAATCAATCAGTTGGTTATTATTAATCCTTTGACTTGATGTCATGCATTATCCGATCGTCGAACGGATGGTACATTTCTGCTGCCTACGTACATAGGTCATTAAACTCTGTCGTAATATCAAATTTATTTTTACAGTAGCGGAATCATAAATAAATTTTCACACCTCACACGATTTTATAAACCTCAATAACAAATCAGTAATCGTAAAAACTTGCAAAAATATTTATGTCCCGACGACAAGAACAACAGGACAGAAAGTAGTCGTCAGTAGTCGCAGAAGATTAATTTAATGGGTATTTGGTAATTGGAAAGATTTAAAAAAATGTCATTATTGCTAATCTTACTTCGCTTCGGATAAGCTTCCTAATTACGTTTTAAACTGCAATAAGTAATAATAATTCTAATTGCACCAACCAACAGCTCGAAGCTATTTTTGTCGTCCGTCACACAGAAAATATATGTGCACCACGTCGTCACATCAGTCGGCTTCCTAGCGCAATTTCTGCTACCACTACTGTGACCAAAATGCAATATTAATAACGTTAAACAGTTTGATTATCATGTTTCGCATCCGTCCGTACGTGCAGGAGCAATTTATACTTGCATTAAGATAAGATTACATATTGATGATATTCACACCGGCGTGTCATTTCCTTATGATTCGTCAAATTGCATTCTAAATATGTATGCAATCTAATTATACGTACGTATGTGCAATTTAAATATATGTTTAATCTAAAATGGGAATCATTTACGAAATGGAGGAAATGAGATTTTAATTCGAAATTAATATTTACTAATTGTGACATTGGTCGAGTAGAGGACCACACCTACGTAACTGGCTCAAAAAAATTAGAGAATTCGAGGAAATTCGTCATGTTGCATCCTTATTCATAATTGGGACCAACTTAATCCTGAGTGACCTTTGAGTACGACTCAATTTAATTTTTTTGTAACAATGGATCGAAACCTTAGGATGGATTTTTGAGACTAAATTTGACACTGGCTCAAGAAACAATGGGCTCAAGAAGAGAAATATTGCTAACTTGGATTAGAACAATGGACCATTATTTTAATTAGAGTTGGTTGGCAGTAGTAAATCAAAGACTAGGATTTGCAATAGGGCTCGTGGGTAATCATAATCTACGAGAATTAGAATAGAGTCATCCCTGATCACGTAGAAGATGGAGAAATGCATACATAATAGAGTGCAATCAATACTATTTGCAAAGTACGAAATATGCACTACCGCGTTACAATCTACACGCAAATATTTAGCACTAATTTTCTACACATGCACATGTAACTAATTGTGCCTTCTAAAATATTTTTCGTCGTGCCGTGCAAAACTTGACTGGACAGACACTAACGTGGACGAAGACGTGGACGCCGACCGAGTAGATTATTCGTACTACTGACAGTGCTTGAAGGAGGGATGATGGAGTTAGTCGCGATATTTGAAATATTTGGCCACGTTGGGGTCGTGGTAGCCAGCGCTGATTTTGCTGTTGTACTAAAAAGGAATGGGGGTCGATTGTACACAAATTTAGGGGGCGTTTTCTGCGTCGAAGTGTACATTTCGGCTCGTGGGGTCGCAACCAGAAGTCTTGGAGCTTCTTCCTCCACGACCGTTGGGGGACTGATCTCGACCCCGAATTGCGTCATGCCTGACGGTGACACCATTCTGTTCCAGATGAGAGGAGGATCCCGGAAATATGCGTCGTCGTCATCAGTGTTTTGCATCCTTGACTGAATACCGGTCATAGGTTGACCTTTTCCTCCTCTGCCTCCTCCTCCCCCGTAAAGTTGAACAGCTATTATCCCACTGACTTTTATTGAATACATAAATAAATAAATAAACCAACACGAAATGATACACGAGGCAAACTCTAAACCTAAAATAAAACCTCACAACTATTTATTTATGAAGTACATAAATAAAATTCTTACACACAGACGTGCAACATTTATGTGACGATACGAAATTAAATCATAATGACATTTCAATTTCAGTTCGACATGGTCATGAGTAACGAAGGAACACACGGATTTATTATTGGCTTTTCCATCTCACATAGTGAACACAAATTACGAAATGTGTTGCAATAATCTAATTTAATTTTGCATGCATGGGAAGAACAGATGTGTACACTCGAGGTCTTCTTGAAGCCAACTTGAGACTTTTTTCATCTTCAATGAAGAACAATACCTCATGCGTCGTGGTTGTGTAGCCTATTTACAAATTCTGACGAGTGATAGATGCATATTGACTCAGCTAATCTCTGTTTATTCAAGTGCATTATTGGTCATTGGTCATCATGAACGAATGAATGGGGAGAAAGGAAGAAGAAGAAGATCAATATTTAATTTAATTGCAGTCCTAGAAAAATATGTGTCCTGCATAATTGTGTGTGCACGGAGGCAGCGAGTAACCATCCACCTCAATTAATTCCGTCGTTGTGTTGCATTTTTATATCGTGACAATTTATTATGCAAGAGACGAGACGACTGAAATAAATAGGGTAGCAGGCATGCGTTTTCCATGAGGTAACAGAGTCATAAACTACATCATCTCTTTGTCGAAAAAGTGATTTGGTGAATTTTTCGAGGAAATTTAGAACATCGTGTAATCGTGGTCGTGAAGGTGTGAGAGATTTTAATTTAATCGATGATCCTAAACTTACTACCATCACGTGTTGAAATCTGCCTTGAGACATCCATAAATTCTTGTGTTCTTGTGAGATGGATAGAGGAACGAGATAAGAATCTAAATTCTCTTTTGGGTGGAAAAGTTAGGGCCTGATTTAAAAATTGGAGTAATTTCTTCGTCCCTTTGTTCTCCCCTGATTAGATTATGAGAAGAAGGCTGAATAGCGCTATAAATCATGTTTTCTTATGAAATGGGAAAGATATTGCTAAAATTTGAGCTTTATTATATAACCATCTGCAATTATCGCGAAAATATTACTGTATCCGACCCATAATCTAATCGGCACGTATCCCAATGAAATGTTAATGTCAGGTCCGAAGCATTTATTAATTATGCAATAACAATAAGGACAAATTGGCACACGTTTAATAATTTCAGTCGCCTTTAATTTTTCAAGCTATTTATATTATTAATACCCCACCTTTTATGAATCATTTTCCTTTCTGAACTGACCATCAAACCGTCTTTCTTTCTCCTCAAATACATATTCAGTGCGATTAATAAACCCTTTCGATGTCGTAATTTCATACGGAGTGATATATACCGGACTAAATTTGACTCTTTAAATTAGTTGAGTCACCCTCGTCATGAATGGTGTTGCATTACACACACACACACACACACGTGCATATTAATGACGACTAAATAAAATAAATAAGTCTGACTTCCATCCATCCATGCACGAAGGAAGGTAAGCATACGACACCCTCAGAAGAATAGGAACGACAAATATTAAGCTTCCATTCAAAGGTGTGGTGGTGTGTGTACGGCGTGTACACAACATTTCTTTGTGCTATGATCAATTTATCAATTGAATACCATGCAGTGATCACAGCTCCGTACCGTTTTGTTGGACGTGTGTGGGTGTGAAATATGGGACGATGATGTGGTCAGATTAAATGTTAAACAACCAAAAGTATGTACAACTGATCAATGAGAATGGGACAAAGATATCACTGGCAGGACCACCTGGAATTTGTGGTCATCTACTCCACCGATTAGTGCAGTTTTCCCCTTAATTTGCAAAAATTAAATTTGCATCGGCATTTATTTATTCGCAAATTATACAAGGATTGATTTTTGTATTCATTTATGAAAAATCGAAAATAATTTTGTCCTGCATTTCGCAACTCGCATCATAATCATCCGCAGAGAGAGACTGAGACGGATTGCTGCCTACGTTACATGTCCTTCTTCTCAAGCTGAGACGAACAATCAAACTAATGTCCACGGTGACTGAATTCAGCAATGTTTGGTCTCAGATAGCATCGCATGTATATCACTCATACTAATGTCACACGCATAATGGGACGGGGGACGGGGTGGGAGTACGTATAATTCTGCTTTTATTTTGGGAACCCATTCATTCGAATGAGTCAGATGCGATGGATTTATTTCCCAATGTGAAATACGACGATTGTGCAACCGAGATGGGATGAAACCCAGTTTAAATTGTTGGCGAGAGGACGGTGCTAAATGTTTATGATGCAGTGATTGTTGTGACTGGGTAAATTATAG